CTAGAAACTCAACAAACAGATGACGCTGGGCCAGTAGCCTTTCTGGTAGGAGTACAGACAAGCAGACGCATGCCTTTTAAAATCAATATTAGTTTTTAAAACTTGTAAATATTATAGCAGACAGAAATTGATTTGAGTTAGAGAGAGTGAAAGGCAGTGTTAACCTTTGTTATGAGATATGCATACTAAATAGGATACAGGTCTCTAATCCTTTATTCGGCTGGATCCACTTCTCAATTCCAATTCTGAGTGCAAGTAAATAAATCTTCCTGAACTTGTGGAGTGTATCACCTATACATGTCCCCATACAAGTTATGCTGCTGTTTTGGTGATGTACATTTTGGACTTACTGTCAGTGCCAAACTAGAAATTTAACCTGTATCTTCAGCAGGTGGAACAAGTTGTCTCGTGACCCACTGATGGGTAACAGTATTGGAAAGGGTGGTAACTGGTGCTTTCTCAATTCTCTGTCCCTATTATCACATGTACATATGAAACTGGCTTTGAAGCACTATCAAAAGAAAGTTATCATTACACTCACATAAAAGGACATGTGGGCTTTCTTGGGAGTGTAGGACAATTCAGGTCTGAGAGATACCACTTTTTCCATCAAAGCATGTCCTTAGCTGCAGTTGATATCTCCTTTTTCTGCCCCTTGGTTGCAATTCTACTTGTCAAGGGCTTGTAAAATTAAGTGGCCTGAGTAAACTATCAGGCAAGGGTTTTTTTTCACTCAGGTACACACTTTGCCATCACATATCTATGAATCCAAATTATGGAGAACACGCTATCGGCAGTCTTCACAATCAGGCTAAGTGGGCATAGAACATAAACTACACTCCCTTTTCTGGAGTTAGCTTTTCCAAAATAGACCTGTGACAGCAGTAGGCAATTAATAGTGCATTAAGAGAACATTTATCTGTGTGACTGCAAATTGTTTGGCTTCCTGGCCTGCATCCCCTCTTCTGTGGTCTCTCATCTAAGACTGTCAGCAAAATTTCTTTTGTAGTAACAGCTTCAGAAAGGAGAAATGTTTATTTATTTATTTTTTAAATTTGTAGAGCCACCTATGGTAAATAAATTCTAAAAAGAAATGTCTAGCTTTCTAGGCACTTATTTGTATTCCTGCTGGTATTCGGCTTGGTGCCTTCAGTCCTGCCTTGTTTCTCTGGGCAACCTGATACTCTGAAATGTGCTGTACAGCTCAGCAGAAGAAGGAATTTGCTTTGTCTAAGTCATTTAATAGCTTTTAAATCCCAGTGGATTACAAATTTGCAGGGTACTATATGCTGGCTGTATCTTGATCTCTAGGACTTAAACGTGCTTTGAATTGTTTCTTAATAACTATGAATAGAACTGTTAGTTAAAGCCAAAGCAGTGACAACAAGTGGTATCACAATAAGAATAGCAGGACGAGGGTTAAATAAAATGTAGACTGTGGAACCTGTTAAAATTTGCAAGTTAAGTTTTGCAGTAGTTTTAATATAGTCACTTATGGATTGCATCACTGAAACATAGTAAACACTTCCTTAAGTAGCATTCCTAACCACGTTTAGTCCTAGGAAAATAAGCCAATTTGGAAGGCATCAGGCTATGAGGCCACATGCTGAGAGTCTGCTGTAATGTACTGCAGCAATACTTTCCATGAGGCACAAGACAACTGTCATAAGGGGATAGCACCATTTCATTAACTGGTGTACTGGTAAAACAGAAAGCTCTGAGAAACTGTAGTTTAGATAAAAGATCTAAATCTCTTCTTCTAGATATAGAAGATAATCCAAACTGTCTAGATACAGATAGTCTAAATAAAGAATCCACGCACAGTAGAGTGCTTCAGCAGAACTTGTTATCTCATGAATGGATGCTTTGTAGGTAATTTCAAGTTTATCCTTCAGAATTGTACAGTGTCAATGACAAACCCCAATACTACTAGAAAGAATCTTAAATAACCTACAGATATAAAAAGGCAGCCCATAAAACCAGTGACTGTCATCAAATGATTTCTTGAAAACAACTTGACTCGGCAGTAGTAGCATTGTTTCCTTGTTTATATCATAGCAACATTGGCTGCTTAGTGTCTTCATAAAATGAACAAGATTGAGAAGAGAGTTTGTCTCTCAGCAAATTCAGTGCTGTAACAGTGTCTGTTTTCAAGATAAACTATCTAGATTATCTGAAAACTTTGGGATCTTCGGATAAAACTTACGTTTTGTGTCTATCAGTGCGGCATCCGGTAAGTTGAGTCAGCTGTTGTAGAGGTGAAGTAGAGGACCACAGTGAGATTAGAGGTGGACAAAATTCTATATTGCTTTTATACATGTATATTTATATATGCATATATGAGCTAAGAAGTGCCAGGTTCTATTTCTTCTTAAGAAACTAAGTTAGTAGCTTTCTTCACAGTAGGAATGAGATTTGCATTTTAAGACTGCTCAACTAGTGGGGTCATTGCCATTAAATCCTTAATTAAATGAAAAATGGGGAAAACTCATTTACTTGAGTGGTACAAGGTCAGAACGTTCACCATAAACGTCTAAAAGAGATGGAAATGGCTGAGGTTTTTCTCCAAATTCCTCTTTGAGGTTAGCATGGTGTGCTTGGAACAATTCTACAAACTGCAATAGCATCTGCAGATAAGCACATGTCCATCACATAAACTTAATTAATGAAAGGCTCATTCATTTACTGGTTAAGCTTTCTAATATTTATTGCCGAATTGCCATGCAAGGTTCATGTGCATTTACTCTTGAATGCTTTCAGCTGTTTTTTCTGTATTACCATAATGTTGTTCCTTCCAAGGATGCTGCTTGTAATATTTAATATTTGCAAATGACTTAATGTGGTGCTAAGCCTTTTTAGATACATATCACTAGAACAAGATACTGCTTGAGGCAGACAAATTAGTCTTATAAACTAGATCCTAACCCTATAATAATCCAAACCAAATACCATGCTAAGACTCTATCATGTTGAGCCCTGAGGGTAGAGGTGCCTAGTATCTGTTGTGATGCTTGATACACTCTGGTTTCAGGTCTCCCATGAGCTCAGTAAAGCTAGTTACCTTAAAATGAGGGAAGTTTTACCTTCCTGAATGACTGCTTTTCAAGCTAACATCCCTTTATTCAAACATGTATTTGCAGAGATGCTTCAGCTGCAGCCATACTTATCTCCATCTGCATTCAGAATGACTTTCTTATGCCTCTACCTGCAACTTATCCTCTGCAGGTCAACAGAACCCCTGCCCAGAACCACTTAACAATACTGTCTTCTCTCTCCTCCTTTCTCTGGGTTAGGGATTTCACTGCACAGCTCCCCCATATGCATAGCACTTCTTGCTTCTTCCTTTCAATTGGAGAGAAGTTGATAAATCTAAAGTTTAGCAGGCTGCTCCTTGTCACTGTAGGAGCTCTAAGAGCCCAGCAAGCTGCACATAAATTCTTCACATAAATTGTGTCAAACCCAACAACAATGAAAATATTATTCTTTAACAGAAAGTTGCATTTTTAAGAATAGACCATTTTTGAAAAGTCAATCTGTATCTTCTTAAGGTGTCAAGTGTGTCTAGAATTTACAAGATTCAGTTCTCAGGAAAGTTTTTGCCTTCATCTACTGGCCTTTCTTGTTCTGTTTCTGAGAGAACAGATATTAAATAGTCTAAAAGAAAGGCAAGAAAAAAGAAAGCCAAAGGAAATTTCATATTGACAATGGGGATTTAGGATATATTTTATTTTTAAACTATTTACATTATATGTTTTTAAAACTATGGTAATTTGAAATAGCAAAAGAAGGGGAATTCCAAATATCTGACAATTTTAAGTAGCTAAAGTCTAACTTACCAAAATGTATGGCCTTGTTATACACCTAGAGTTAAGTACCTGGTGAAATACCTAGTAAATACAACTTGCTTTGTATACCTTAACAGACACTGAAAAGCACGGGGAATTTGTCAGAAGGCTGAGAGGTAACGGAGATTTGAAAACAGATTAACTACTAAATTTTATAGTAGCCCATGTTTTGATTTCATTCATACAAAAGGTACTGTGTGTATGACCTCTGTAGATCAATGGGGTTAGTTCTGCTTTTCATCTCTGCAAGTAAAAGCAGACTTGGTTATTCTCCACAGAGCGAGAAATGCTCATGGTTGCTTTTGTGATCATTTTGCCCTGCAAACTTAAGTATCTGCATTTGTGTGTTTCATTAAGTTGTGGTAGTTTTCTGAAAATTATATAATACAGTTTAAAAATAAAACTCTTGGTAAGGCAGGCCATATCTGCAGGGTCTGAATGTGAAATGTCTGTGGTTGAATTATTGTAAACTTTCAAAAACCATTCTAATTGTCCATGTTTTCAAAAGGCATTCTGTTTCTTACTGTAGTTACAAGTAGGGACAAATCCAATTTTGCTGGTATCCTTGCTGTATAAAGACTCTCTTCAGTTACTTCATCCTGAAGAGTGTTCTCACAACTTCCTACCTGTGAGAAATGCATGTTACTTGTCCCTGGCATAGATAATCTGTGTAAGAACTGTTTATCATGGCATGAATTCAAGTAGTAGCAATTTTTGCTTCTGTGCTTGGTATTGCCTACATTTTACTGTCACACAGCTTTCTTTATACCGTATCAATCTTTCTTTTCAGGAAGAATGTATAACAGATAAGTCCCAACATAATATTTTGAGCTCATAAAATGTTAAGTGTAGTAATAAGCATTAGACAAATTTTGCCTTTATGTGTAGATCTTTTTTGGGACACATTTACGAGCAGAATCTAGCAGAGTATTCCTTCTAATCAAGCAATTCTTTGCAGCTTCATGAACATCTGGGATAAGAATTTTGAACTCAGCAACATGTATAAAATGAATAGGAGCTGGACATCCAAATTTCTAAGGCAGTAGTGAAAATCTCAGATGCAGTGTTTACTCAGATGGCTTAGTAATTGTTTTGGAAAATGTGTTTCTGATAAGTATTTTTTTATTATTATTATTATTATTATTATTATTACAGACGTTTACAGCCTGGTGCAATTCCCACCTCAGGAAAGCAGGCACACAGATTGAGAACATTGAGGAGGACTTCAGAAACGGCCTCAAACTGATGCTCCTCTTGGAAGTTATCTCAGGTTGGCTAAAATAAAGTTTGCTATGTATTTACAACATGCTAACTGAAACACTCTTAAAAGAACAAAAATTGTTAACAATTCAAAACAGTGGACACAAACTCTAAGTAGGATGAAAAGTGAGAGATGAAACACACTGTGAAACAAAAGGGAGGAGGGAAAAAAGCACCAAAATCTTCTGTTTTGTGCTTGTGTTCCAGGATATCACAGTGTATCAGGCTATCACTGACATCACAGCGTTGTTGGACAAACCACAAACATTGAGGACCTGGTCTTAGCCCCTAACAATTAAAAAGCCTTTACACTTAGGTTACAAATTCATTTTATTCCACTTTTAGTATAAAAGTTTTTCTTTGCTTTTAATGACTTCACTGGATGGACCAATGCTTTCAAAAGTGAGTGCCTAAAATAAAACTACATCAATATTTAGTCACAAGTAAAGGGTCTCATTTTTCAGAAGGGTGGAACACCCAAGAACTCCTTTTGACTAACCAATGTAAACTCACTCTGTCACCCATTTTATGTGTTATTCAGAGGGGCAGTCCCCAAGGTACACTCAGAATACCCCTGAATGGGAAGGGAATAGCTCCAGTTACAGACACAAAATAAAGGTGAAAAAGGGCAAGAAGATTTTTAAGATGTCTTTATGGAAAAGACAGTTTACATTTCTGCTGGAGATTTCAGTGGGGAAAGAAGATCTTTGAATGATCACTCTTCATGAAATGGAGAGTCATATTTTCAGAAATTATTCTTCTTTGTGATCATTTGAAAAGATAAGTTCATTCAAACACATCAGCCTATGCTCTGAAATTAGCTGCTCTGCTGTACTGGATTAGGTTGTTAAAGGCCATTGTTCTTGGTCAGATGTGGAAGGATACTATGGCTAATCTGCTGGGTAGAGTCTAGTCTCTCTTTACAGTCCAGCAGGTAGGAAGGATGAGCTCTGAGAACATCCTGCCTTCTTAATATTCAGCTACTCTAATACAGACAGTAGCAATGAACCAGAAGTTGAGTAGGAGGAAGCACTCACATATCTTCCAGATGTTTAGGGCAAACATAAAAATTTTACTCTGGTTTTACTGCTATATTAGAAAGATCCAAGTCGGATATTTCAACATTTGAATTTTCTCTTCGGGGTTTTGTTCAAAGCCATTTGACATTCTTTCAGAAAAATACCAGTTAAAATAACTGCTAACTTTTAGACAGTGATCAGGGCACATTCACCCTTGAGTTCTAATCACTAGGGTATCTGTAGCCAGGTGTATGTAACAATAAACACATTAAATTTGTTATTCTGCAGGGGAAAGACTACCGAAACCAGACAGAGGGAAGATGCGCTTCCATAAAATTGCTAATGTCAACAAAGCTCTGGATTATATCGCCAGCAAAGGAGTGAAACTTGTGTCAATTGGTGCGGAAGGTATGTGACAGAGCTTGACAATGCACCTTGCTTAGATCCAAGACATTCACATTGCAAAGAAGTCTGACAGAGACCCTTGGCCAAATTGCGTGGGCTGTTCTCTATATATGGGTGCCTCAAAAATGTCTTAATATTGATTGCTGACCTATATCTGTCAAAGGTCGAGAGATGGAAATTTGTGGACACCTGGAGAGGGACAGGGGTATAAATGGGCTGTAAGATTCGTTTGTCTCCAAGGTTAAATTGAATTGTCTGTGTTTCAGTGGGTGTTCAGATAATGATTTCTTCTTTCAGAGCATTACGTTTTTCCTATACATTATTAGAACTAAGGAAGTCCTTTAGAAATCAGGTTGGATTCTAGGATGTGCTTTATCCAATCTGGGATCTTTTTTTATCTTTAGGAGGTATTATTCAGACAAGACAAAGGCTGACATCACTACCAGGTGGCTGAGACCTACTCCCACTTTATTATGAGACTGACTGTGGATGGCAGCTGTGTTTCTAAAATTCAGATGTAGAGATAAGGGAGTGATCAAAAGAAATTATGGTAGCTGGAGAGAGACTGAACATATGAAGAAAGTGGGGCGGGATGTTATTTACTGAAGTTATTGCTTTGTTATTGTTCTGTTGTTCAGGTAGTTAAATAAAAACAGACAGTTAGCTAGCTAAATGCTGATAGGTGTAAACTCTGAGCAAAAGAAGGTGGGCTCTCACTGCAAGTGAGCCTATGCCTCCTATGAGATTCAATTAATTGTTTAAAAAGGACAAAGGTCTGTCTAGAACTAGCTACTCCATGGAGTTATTTGCATAATGCTTTGCATAGCCATTACCATACAGAGGAGTCATGTGGCAAGCATGATTTCCAACTACTTTTGATTCCGTAGCCTCAGTGATATGCTGTCCATTCTGGGGGCAGCCTCTAACATGTCCTTAGAGCAAAACTCTAGCTGTAACTTCAGTATCACAGTGAGAAGCACTACCTATATTCTATTCACATTGCTAGGCCTTTTTAGATCGATTTATGAGCCTTCTCTTCCTGTTTTCTGATTTCTCCAGGCTTATATATGTCCTTATTCTGGCTTCCAAACCTTGATTGCAGGGAGCTTACTGTAATTGTGGCTGGAGCAGGAAGATTCATTAGGTGGGGTAGGGGCATCTGTAGAAGTAATAGAGAGACCTATCAGTATTCATTGATTCCACAACGGTTTGACATAGCCTGCTTGGTTCCTCAAGTATCATTCACCAAATGTGTTCAGTTTCTAGAGCTAGAACTCCAAAATTCTAAGAAATGGGTGTTCTCTGGGCAGAGCGTTTGTTTGAACTCGCCCTTTATTCATTTGAGACTGAACTGGGTGGGCCATCTGAGTCCAAATCCATACCATCTATCTTTAGGCATATAACAGAGACCTTTTTGGGGGAAGATATCACCTCTGGGGAGAAATGGGAAATTCCCAAAGGCACTTCGGAGCTCAGAAGAGCTCTACTGCATTTCAGAGGTGCCTGGCTCCCTCCATCCGTTGTACAGGCAGTCAGGGGCAGCTGGGCCCTTTGCTGAATTAAATGAAGTGGGATGGAAAAATACACTACTACCCTAAAACTCTGCAGTTCAGGTTATTCTGGGAGCAACATGGCATTGAACAGACAGCAGAGGGTACTGAAGAGACGATTTTTGTGTGGAAATGGCAATTAAGAATACAGAAGCCTGTTTGATAGCTGGTGCAGAAATACTGAGAGTCCGGTGTGGAGCAAATGAATGGTAGTTTCTGTTATGTCATGTTGAGACTCTGAGGCTTCCTGACCGAAAGCAAGTGTGTAGCAAAAGGGGTATCTTGTGGGACAGAGTGGTTGTTCTCTCTGATCACAGTTTGCACAAGGTACTGATGTTTTCACACCTAGGTCCTTCAAGCAAGGCTGGAGTATTTAAACTGAGATACATCAGCTCATATCTGCTCCTGAAAGGAACAGGCCAGCCCACTGCACTCCCCTCTCCCTCATTTTGCCCCGCTTATTGCAGCTCATTACTGCCAGGGTGCTCAGACTAGGGAGCAGCGCTAGAGCACTTTCTCTATCACCTGAAGGCAAAGCATCTGGGATAGCTCAGATCAGCCATTAAAACCATTTAAACTAACCCTGCTGTTCTCCTTGGCTGCAACTGGCATGAATTTAGATGCTCTGTGATAATAGGCGATTCCCTCTGGGAGAGAGGCAGGAACAAGAGGCAGTAACCTCTTCCAGCTTCTCAGCCAGTTGCTGCGAAGTGATGTCTGTCCATGCACTCAGTATTTCTTCCTACATGTAACAGCAGGCTGTAGTCAGTAAGCCAGGAGATTAAGGTGATGTTCTTGGCTGTGCTGCAGGGTTTAATTGCCTGTTTCTGGAATTCTCAATCTGTAAAATGGAGGGATAAGAAGCAAAAATTCATTCATTAGCATTAAAAAACCTGTCTTGTATGGAAGCACAGGAGAAAAATCCACTGCTACTGTCATAGCTTAGATGCAAAGAGGAACCTGTCATTGTAAGACATTGCACTATGTCAAGCATGGCTACTAACACGCATTAGATTATATCCATGTGGGCAGGAGCAGATAGACTCGTGTGCCTTCCACTCCTACTCTAAACAGGCTGAACACAAAGCCAGCTCTGGCCCAGACATGCTTAGTGCCCTGTTAAGTTTACCACATCCCCTCTATTAAATTTGTTACCTAAGTCACAGTGCTGTGCTGATGCAGCAATGCAGTATCACAACTGACTGGGTATAGTTTCACAGTGTGGGACCTCTGGCACCAGTATGTGTTTAAAGAGTCCCTGTGCCCCCTTGTCCTGCATACTTGCTCCCACACTTTACAGCCCTACCCTATCACTTGGGCTGACAACTGTTTCTGTAGCTGTGCTGGAGACTGGATCAGCAATCTGATCTGGTTTTAAAACACACTTCGCCTCTTCTTTCTTCTTTCGTTGCATTTTTCAGCATTGTTGACTGGGCAGCCATTATAGCATGAAGATGGAATGAATGCCAGCAAGGAGACAGAACACAGGCTCCTTAAGCTTGTATTGTTATCAGAGTCCTTAACCCCTTAACTCGCTGCCTCTATGTGTGAGCGTGGGGCGTATGGGCTTGTCTGTACCCATCTGTTTTGGCATTCTCAGAGTTACATGGATGCTTGGAATACTTTTTAATTTCCAAAGCATGAAAGTTTTGTATCTAAATCTGCTGTGGATCATGTTTTATTATCTGACATGCTGAGTGGTGAAGAGCATGTAGGCCCAAGGGGACCAACTGGCATTTAAAATGGGGCCTCAAAACAAAGATTAAACCGTGATTCCTGTGGGCCATCAGTACAAAGTTAAATTTCGTACTTTTAAGGGGCCAGGGATATTCTTTAAAGCCATCATTACTGTTCTGAGGCTGACTTCCTTGGGCTGTGTGTGGGGTGGGAAGAGAGAGGTGATCACCTTTAACTGTGATGCTGAGCAGAAGCCCAGTTTAGCTACTCTGATCTGTCTTGTGGAAGAGTCCTCTCCATTGGTGGTGAAGTGAGACTAGAGAGTCAAGCTAAAGCAAAAGCCGTGAAAGTAGTCCTTATAAGCCATTCGCAGTTCAGGAGTTAGAAGTTTTCCCTTAAGTTTAAAAAAAATGCAATAACTCCATTTGGAAGGTAATTGCACCCTAAATGAAATGAACTGAGGTATGGAGAACCACAAAAGGTAAGTATCCTGTTAATAGGAAACACTTCTGTATTGCTTTTCTGGGGAGTGGGAGGAATATTAAAGACCAAATGATCTGTGAATCTGCTACAAGGAAGTTAGAATGAAAAAAAAAAAAAAGCCAAAGCAGAATAAAAAAAAAACCAAACCTTTGAGAACTTGCCACACTGCTTTGCTTAGTTTTTTCCCTAGGCAGTTTTTATTGTTTCCCCTTCCCTTTCCCTTCTCTCCTTTCCTGTCTTCATAGGCCAGCAAGACCTTTTTCCCCAGAAAGCTGTAGCTTTGCGTATGTGAGGTGTAGGAACTATATTCCTGGAGTAAAGAGGCAGAGTTAAAAAAATAATGAAGTCTGCTATTGACCTGTAGAGGAAAATTATAGGGATTAATCGGTATTTTTTTGTCACTGATACTTTTTGACATTTAGCAACTTTTGTTTTTCTTCTGTTTAGATATTTTTCCTTGTCTTTTATACATGTCTTTTTTGTGTTTTATGCTAGTAGTAGATAATGAGAAACCAAAGCTGGCAAATCGCTTGAAAATTCTCCTGAGGCACAACATAGAAAATTCCCTCTCCTGCTCTTTGATTCTGTCTGTGTGTACATATGGATATGTAAATCAAAACAACGATGTAGTGATTATGCAAATCCATGAATTGATTGCCTGACAATCAGCATTGCCTCCTGAGTATCTAAATTCATTTATTTTACATTTGAAGAAATTCTTCTTTACTGTATATACATATCAGACATCTGATCAAAATACAGTGAAATACTTGACCGAGGAGGAGGGAGGAGAGAAAAGTAGCTACATGCCCTAATTGCCATTCAGTCTTTTTTGCCTGAAAGAGTTTAGTTTTGAGATTTGGAGAGACATGAGGTCTTTCAGGGCCAATAAGATAGTAATAATGCATGGAGGGCAGGCAAAGTGAAGTAAGAATTCTGGAAAATTAGTGTAGAACCCAAAGGGGAAAGAAGAAAAATAGCCATTCATATATAAACTTGGATTATCACACTAGCAAAGTAAGTATTGACTAGTGATGGGTGACATATCTCCTACCACATTTGTTAATTCCATAGGTTCAAATGACAGCTTGTGTCACATGATACTGCAATTTAACACGTATCTCAAGTCTTGGAGCTAGCAGCTGCTTTGTTCTGTGAAAGTTGCTCTGGATTCAGGCAACATCTAAGTAGCAGAGTGACTGCATTTTCTGTTGGCACCTCTGTTGGCATTTGATGTTAAACTGATGAAATTCCGTCTGCTGCAAGTTCCTCCTGCTCCTTCCCCAGAACACCAGTGGGCCCCCAGGCAGCCACAGCTGCTCCACTTTTTGGGGAAGGCTGGAGGTCACCTTCAAGCAGGGGAGCAGCTGGTGCCTTCCCCGCTCCACTGCGCTTTTGGTGTGGAGGTAACTGGAAAGGCAGTCTGCTGTTCCCTTCTCTCCTTGTCCCACCTCCTCCCCTGCCGGTGCTGGGCCCTCCTATGGTCTCACTATGTTCTCCTGAGTCCCATGCCATGCTTTGCAGATTGATTTAACATTATCACCACACTGAAGTGGTCTGGCAGTACCTTTTTTGGTGTTGAGAAATATAAGTGATATCACTGTTCATATTACAATATAGGAGCATTGGATTCTGACTTGACTTGTGGAAGGGGACTCCCATGTATGTGTGAGAAGGGTTGGAGAAAGCACCTTCCTAGTGCCCTATGTTGTAGGTAGACTCAAGCAGTCTTGAAACAAATTGAAACTCCAGAGGTAAAAAATCCCATTTTATATTAAAGATACATAAATGTGCATAGGCATCATTGCTGTAAGACATTACAACCTCGTGGCCATATTTCTGAACTGCTTGGCAGCAATCTGTGTAGCTTAGTCTCAGGAGCTGTGTCTCTTGAGCTGTTCTTCATATCTAATCTGTGCTGGCACTATAGGTAAAATTCTCAAAAAGGTCTAAATAGTATAGGGGGATTTCTGAGTACCATTTTATTAAAAAATAATAGTTAATGTCCTGTAGTTTCTTAAAATTTGGGGTAAGACCATATTTTTTTCAGTTCCTTTGTATTTGAAAACAGTAAGGCTGATATTGTTCAAACTTTAAAAAAGTGTTTCCCCTCAGGCTCTCTCTAAAAAAGTCAGCCTAAAAGGTAAAGATTTGAGGCAGTTACAACTACCCGGAGAGAAGCCTTTTAGCATGGAAGGGCTGAAGTGACCTTAACCTCAGTAATCTGCAGTCCTACTGCCAGGGTAGCACAAGCATAAGTTTGTTGAGAAATGAACCCAGATGAACTCTGTGTAGATAAAGAATTATGGTAGAAATATAATGAATTTATTAGATACAATATATTATTTATAGAAATATGTGATTAAAATAAGAGAAAATGGAAAACACATTCTAAATACTACTACTATATCTTTTTTCACCTTAGAAATTGTTGATGGCAACGTGAAAATGACGCTGGGTATGATCTGGACTATCATCCTTCGCTTTGCTATTCAAGATATTTCAGTGGAAGGTAATAGTAATGCAACTATGTTAAATAGTTAGTAAATTTGTTTAAACACATTTTTATATGAATTGTGCATAAGTGAGATGAGTGTTTTAAAAATGAATTATTTTTTTGCAGAAAATGATACTGCAAGTTCCCTACCTGGTGACAAAATTGAATTCTGGAGGGAAAAAGTAATTACTCTCCTTATGCTGACAGAGACCTCAAGCCAGCATTTTCTAAATGCAGAAGTTCTGGGCATGTCTCTCAGTGATAGAGATAGAAGCATGCCTGCTTTCTGAGCTTTCTGTGGCCTGAAACTATGCTGTACCCTGCACGGTGGTCCCATTTCCGACTTTTTAGTCCTTACTTTTTTAGTCCTGTCCATTTCTCACATTCTTTGAAAATATTATCTGATTATATCGTCCTTCCTTCTGTCACTTTTTTTTTTCCTCCCCACTGTTTCAGAATTTTTTTCTTAACTTTCACTTGGTAACTGGCTCCAGAAACTGTGTTGTAGTTACAATACTCTTTAAGTCAAGTCTATGCTGTGAAAAGTCTAGAATTCTAGAAACTAATCTCAGTTTTCAACAAAAGTATAGTCAATTCAAGCTCTGCATGCTGTCCTGCCCATAATTTGTGGGACATTAAATGTGGACCTAATGGTCTATTTGATCTTTTCTGTCCTTTACTTATGCATTCAAATACCCATAGGGCTCAGATAGTGAAGGTATTTTTTCAGCACTTATACCAACACAATCTTTTATGTCTAGTTCTATTATATTTGTATGGGGTATTTTTCTCCACATAGACATTCTGCTGTCCAACCAATATAATGTCTTAAAATTCTAATATCCCAGAATTATTGTGCAGGCTGAGACTCTAGTCTGAGTTGTTCCAGTTGAGTTGACCTCTGTGTCCCAATGGAGCCCCATTAGTCCACTTGTATGAGTATCTTTTAGGATTAAATGTTGGCTTATGCCAACCAGTTTCAGGTGGCTGATGACATTTAAGGTGACAAGAAATTAATTACTTGAGCACTTCTTACATTTTTCCTTTTTTTTTTTTTTACTCCCTGGTGTCTTTTACAGAGACCTCTGCCAAAGAAGGGCTGCTGCTGTGGTGTCAAAGAAAAACTGCTCCTTACAGAAATGTGAACATTCAGAACTTCCATCTTAGGTAAACTTCCATTGTTTCAAGGGGTAGAAGCAGTCTAAAATATTTTAGGTCAAATTTTTCCCACCATTGAGTAGGTCTATATTTGACAGGAGAATTTCACTCTTCACTGTTAACTAGACTTTTTTCATATTCTCATGCTCTGTCTTCAGTGTCTTATTTTGCTTAGCCTTTGGCATTATTTACCATGGCTTCCATAATTACTATTTAAAAGATAAAATCCCTACGACATACAGAACATATTACATTAGTAGAGGTCCTTGGCATATGGGAATACCTGAGTACTCTGCAGCATGGTGGCTTGGCAAATGACTGCTTTCAGATGAGAGCCACTGTAGGTATAGATTGTTCTTGGCAAAAATACTAATGTGTTGAGCATGCAAATATCTCATTATGATGAATTGTTCCTTATTATTTTGTAACATAACTATAAATAAGGAGCCAAAAATGCACTCAGTACACACCAGCAGCACTTTAAACACGTTTGTTTTCAGAATCAGGATCATTACCTAAGTTGGAAAATTTAGTGAAGCTCCAGCCTTATGGTTCTGTGTTTTCATCAAGGGCTAGAAAGGGAGTTCCAGGCCATATGCAGGCTGACTGGTTTTGAGATTTTACTGGGCTAGTTCCTGTAGCTCTGCCGGTGACCCACCTCATTAAACTACATGACTTGCCATTTGCACTGTTTAACCATGTGATCTTGCCTTCCCTGAAGTCTTTATAGTACTTACAAGAGCTTTGCATTCCAGTGTTTTGGTGTTTTGAATTTATTCTTAATGTGCAGCACCTAAAGCACATGTAGTGATAGACAAGATACGATTCACACATGCATCCACAGATAAAAAGAATTTGTTTGATTTACAATCCCTGTATTGCCTTTAAGAGATTTGAAATTTGTTACATGTTATTTTCCTTGGATATATAGAGGTATATTTCAGTAGAGCTTTATATGGATGCAGGGTATACTGTAAGTTACAGTATCAGAATCTTAGTGTGTATATATACATAAGCTGGTCTGATATGTGGTATGGGGAAAAGAACTTGAATGGAAGTAGCTTGACTAATATTTGGGTTGATGGGCTGTTGCGGAACTACTTTACAATGGGATGTCCAGACCATTTTATTCTATACCTTTTGGAAAAAAGCTTTTTGTTAGATTGGTGCTCATTTTGATTCAGTTTTACCTTGTGGATGATTTTATATGAGACTATGTATGTATATTCTGCTTAATTGTATTACATTTTTATTGGAGATGGTTCTGTTATTTGATGGATCTACGCAGACATCTCAGTGACAGGGATTCTGACAGTCTTAACATGTTTAGTATCACACACTTACTGCACAGGATAAGACCTCAAACCCACAGCCCCAGTGATTGCATAAAGTGTTTACATAAAGTGTCTTTCAGAATAATTGCTTCTGGCTGAAAGGAACTTACCATAATCTTTCCAAATAGATGTTATTTGTAGCTCCGTTGGTCGCCTATTCTTGCCTCGGAAGGTGGTAGGCCTGAAGTCACACTGAAGTGTAAGAGCTCAGATCGAAGCTGCCATATGTGTGAAGTGTTTAAAGTAAACTAAGCTGATTTATGACTTCTTACTTTTATGAGCACAACATGGTTGTGCAATTAAAGTTGTCTGAAATAACTGACACAGAAAAAGCCAATTGCTTCATCAAATTCAAGTAATTGCAGGTCTGCTGTCCTTTTATTTTTTTCACAAACGTGCTATAAGTGTAATAGGAGATTATGCACTTTCATTGATGAATGTGTACTCTGAGCTATCCTAGAACTCTGCACAAATTAAGCACTTGAAATTCAGGACTGTTGCACATAATGTATGTTGCCTAGAAAAGTATTATGGAGTCCTTAAGCATGTATGGTCTGTAGAGTAAGATATGTACTACAGGAAAAAGAGTACAGTAGCAGAAAAGCTCAGAGACATGAGAGTTGACAGAACATAAGTGTCAGGATTTGACAGGGAGTTCCTGCTTGATTTTAAGCCTTGAGCAAGGATCAAACTGTAAAATGCCATGACTTTGTTAACTAATTTTTTTCCATTCTATTTTTTGTTGTAAAGCTGGAAAGATGGCCTTGGATTATGTGCACTTATCCACAGACACCGACCTGATCTTATTGACTACTCCAAGCTAAATAAGGTCATTAGTCTGGGTGGTACAGCATGCTGTCCTGCAATGATTTGGCTCACTTCTGGTTTGCTTAGCATGTTTTCTAAAAGACAAACTGAGGAGTGCGTACTAATTCTGACTGGCTTTCTAAGCTCCCTCCAAAAAAAAAGCAGTGACATGGAGGAAAGGACCTCATGACTGTCCTGTGTCCTTCTTTCCTTCCCATTACAATGATTTCAGCATTTTATTGCAAATAATCTGGTCCTCAGCTGCCAGGCAGGTGATGAAGTCTTTTACACTGCCCAATATGGATGTTAAATACATTGGAATTCTCTATTCACCACTGACAGTATTGTACAGTCCATCCTGGTTTTTATCTGGTGTAAATGACTGTAGATAGCAGAGCAGTAAACGGTGAGATGATAATTAATCCTGAAATTCCTTGGAACAAACACTACCCTTGGTAATCAGGAGTATGCAGTAAATTACTAGTCTTACATAGAAAATATTCACTAATTCTTAGATTATACGTCTACCTATACTTCCAGAAAAGTGAAAACAAAACTGATATCCTAACTTCCTTAGGTAGTACCTCATGAGGATTACAAAACTATTTTATTACAGTGTGCTACTCATGGCAAAATGCACGTTTTCTAAAAGATACCAGCCACTTTGGTTTGAGAGGGAGGAATGAGGAGCAAGTGATAATGTCAGGATTTCTGGGTATCATTACTGAAGAATAAAACCTAGAAAGTAAGTGTTGTCGTTTCACATTAGCTCTCAATACATAGGTACCATTTTCTGTTCTCTGGAATGAATGCATCTTGAGGTCTCACATAAACACCAGCAAAACAGAAAACTTAATCATGGTTTTAATTTGTTGAGTGCAACTTTTCATTGATGAGAGAGACTGGTAAATCGTAGACTATATTTTCCATTCCGTGCCCCTCCATTACAAACTGATTTTACTAGTGGAATCGATGGTTGTCAAAAAGCCTTTGAGGAGGGAAAAGATAAATGAGTGAAATGAAATTATTTGAAAACTTAGTCTGCTTTATATATATGTTAAATTTATGCTGGAGTCCCCAAGGTGTGCAGTGATGACAATTAAATGAACTTATTCCTAAACACATAGGATTTTAACTTAGGCAGTTAAGACAACTGCAGATCTGAACCAAAGGGCAAAATACTAGCCATGAACACCAGCTTGTTCTCTTAATTCTATATACAACCTTTCCTACAGATGAACAGTTTCATGGAATGACTAAGCTACCCGCCTCTGTGTACACGTGCTTAAGCATGGCACAAACAGAAATTAGTTTGATTGAGTCTGTGCTTTGAAAAGTGGTACGCAGTACTAAAGAGCTTCACAGTATAACCATCCTATATATGAATGCTGAGAAAAGGGAATAGAACATAAGCAGATCTGCTTCAGCATTACTATCTCCCTCTTAGAGGTTTCCAAAATAAGAACAGGTCAGGTTTCAAACTGAGGCTGAGCTGTGGCACGTAAAGCACATGCAGAAAAATCCTAAAATAGATCTTGCTTTTCTGACCTGGCTGTGTTTGATTGACTGCTCATTTTGGTTACATTAACAGCTGTCTTGGTGTCTTGTTTCTTGGTTTCTTATCTCCTGCATGCTGTCCTTTCCTTTTCTCACCAATGTGTTTTGTGTGAACTTGTAGCTGGAAAGATGGCCTTGCTTTCAGTGCCCTTATCCATAGACACAGGCCTGACCTTCTTGACTATGAAAAGTTAGATGAGGTATTTCTTTAGCTGTAGCAGAGATTTTTAGTCACTGTGGCTTGTAGTTTTGTTTAAAAGGATGGGTGATGGAGATCTCCAATTATTCAGAAGTTGCTGTGATTGTAAATAAATCCTTTACCAGTGGAGCACTATTTACTCATGGTCTTAGTACCAAGCACACAGATAGGAGGTGCTCATCGCTCATCCATAAGTGTTTTAACCTAGTCAATAGGTCTCTCTTAGATTTAGTGTAGTTTTGTGCCATTTAATTTGAGTAAGAGTTTTGGTATACACATTTAGTAAATGTTGTATTACACATGGTGTCTTGTGTAATAGCAAAAGTAGATTCATGCGTTTTAAATATTGTCTACATTTTAAGTTTCTCTTAATGTCAATGATGCACAAAACTGCTAAATGATGATAGAGTAAGAGCTTATGATTAGAGACACTGTATTCTATTATACCCAATTTGTTAGGTTTCAAAATGTAAACTGTTCTTCATAGCACATTTTATTGAACATGCAGCTTTTAAAGGAAAGGCTGTCTAGTATGGTATGTTTATAGAAAGACGTCATGGGTGTTACTACTTATGATACCTGGCATATGTATGTGCCTGAGGAACAGGCTTCTGTGAAACTGAAATAATTGCTGTGATTCCATACTATGTAATCTTACTAAGTTAATTTCAAAGTAGACAAAGCAGCATTCTTGATACTGGATCCTTTTATAGGAAGTGTCTGTTTTCAAATGCAAGCCCTCGAAACTCCCTACAGAAAACCTGTTAACATTTTTCCAGTGCCCTCCAGCATCTCTAACTTTGCTCTTCTGTGTCCTATTTTCCCAACCTCTCTCTGTAGACATTGGCATTGTTCAGAGGGGCTATGATCATTTAGCAGTTTGTGAATATGTGAAAATAATAATAACATTAATGGCATGAACTGCCATTTCACATAGGGTGTTTTCTCTCCAAGCTGATACAGGGAGGCTGCCTTAAGAGCAGCCCTAATCTGACACACTCCTCTGTTGTCAGCAATAGCTGTCTGTAGCGTAAGACATGAAATGTGTGCTGTTTATCTGAACTGTGCTCATTGCTTCCTTTCTCTTTCCTTCAAAAACCAAAATCAGAATCAAAACAAGAAGTTCTTCAATTTCCACAGCTCTCAAATTCAGTTTATAGAGGCATTACAGATTTGACTGTCCAAGCCAAAACTGGGGAGTTTTGCTTCTTCTGGAGAACTGTTCTTCTGTCTGTGCTTGCTTCTTCTCATGCATGCACCTGACCAACAGAGAACTCAGTAGAACTCCTATCACTGTAATATAACGTATAGTAGGTATAAAACATGCAGGACTAACTTTGTGATGAATGGTCTAGTACAGTGTACTGGACCAGTGGCCTTGACTGTATGTATTACTGCTGTACTTGATTCAGAATTAGCTCACAATTATGAATGTACACTGCATACATTATCTATGTTCCCCTCCAGAATATATTTGCAGCAGAGTCCTACTGATACATAATAGGTTATTAATGTTTTCTTTTGAAAGTATAGCAGTAGATAGACCAAAAGTTTATATACCTAGACTTTGCTATTTGAAGAACAGTAGTTGTGACTCCAGTTTACAGTTTGGAAAAACAGAGTAAGTTTTAGTGTACCTACTGTAGTCTTGCTTCAAGGAAAAACTTCTGTCTTTGACTAGTTGTATTTTCTTCTTTAATGCAGGATGACCCCATAGGAAATATCAACCTTGCCATGGAAATTGCTGAAAAGCATTTGGATATCCCTAAGATGTTGGATGCAGAAGGTGAGAGTTATATCTTACTGAAGTTTGTGTTACTCACAAGCAGGAGACAGTAAGACTTGTTTTGTACCTAGCAAGTTTTCAACATTCGTTCCACACGAACCATAATGGAGCAACCTGCTTTGTTTTCAAACAGTGTTTTCCTTCTTGTTCCCCATGTATTGGATAATTTAACTCACTTTTTGCTTCATTGCTTATTGTTTGTTATTGTTTGCATTTATTATAGTACTTTGGACCCTAACCTCAGCACATGGCCCCACTGTGGTAACTGAGGTAAAATGCAGGATCAAAAGATAATCTTTGCCTTTAAGAAATTAAAATCTAAGTCTAATAAAGGGAAATACAACTGTTAGCAGCTTAAAGCATATTCACTTTTTTAAATGTTTAAGTGCGAGGGCCAGAAATAGAAATAGAAGTATAGAACTTTCAAAATATAGTAACAACATGCCTCCCATGAAAGAGAGCTAGGTTGAAGGAAGCATTTTTTTCTTGTTTATTTTAATTGTAAACTTTTTGCAGTGATAGTTTTAACAAATAGTTTCATGTTTGGTTTCTCCAACAATCTTTAGAGTTTGTTGACAAATAACAAGGAAATATTTATTAAAGTTACCTGAATTTCTTCAAGATAACCAAACTTTTGTACTCCACACAAAAAGTGGTGCCAAAATACTGGAATTTGCCTACACTAGTTCAAAGCATTCTTCTCTAATTATGCAGACTCTGCTCTGGTGGCTTGTCAGTAGAACAGTGATAGCATTGGAATTATCCAGAGCACTCGAACTGTGTCTGCTCCTCTTGAAGTCTTTGGTAGGAAAGTTAGGCCAATACAGGATGATTTGGAAAATCCAGGTTGTGATGTCTTCATTGAAGAGGTTTCTTCTTTTCACCTTCATGCTTCAAAACTAATAGTTTTCATCTTTTGAATTGCAATTCCCCTTTCAAGGACCACTTAATTATTTTACTCTGAAATACTGTGCAAGGAATAAACAGAAGTGCTACCTCCTTACCATTGAACAGCTCCTACTATCATTCTCCTTTCCTCATTTTTTTCTCTTCACATACAATGTAAGATACCTTTTTTTTTCCCTCAGCAGATTTTCTGCACATTCTAGCCCTTATCTTACTATTCTCCTTCTTGGCAGGGAAGGGGGAAATGAAATCATGCTTCTTCTAACACCCTCTAGGTATTCACCATCACTTTTTACTCTCTTTACTTCCACTGTGTTCTCAGTGGAAACTTAGGAAGGTTTTGTTCACAACTATGTGAAGTAGATGCAAAATCAGTAAATACATTGGTCCTGAACTTAGAAATCCCACTGTTAATATTAGAAATTGTCACCTCGTTCCTGGGTCTTTTCACACCAGTGTCTTCCCACTCCTTACATTGGCAGGAATCCTTGCAGCTTGCAGAAGCGTAATTCATCACTCAGCCGTAATTGGTGTAAAACCACCTTTTCCTGCCTTTCTCTGTTAAGTATTGAAAAGGTCCATTTTTACCAACGTACCCATACCTTGATTGCACCCTCTCTGTGCTTTTACTCTTTCCTGCCATAATAGGGACAAAGCTATCAACCAGCTAAGCCAAACTCTCCTGTGATTTATGCTATTAACTTAAAAAGAGACTGGTGCAGGGATTGCAAAACTGTTACTATCCAAGCTTTTTTTAGCTCAAAATGCATTTCTGGACTGCAGGAGTTCTACAGGTTTCCAATATATGTCAATATCCTGTCAGTCACAGGGACCCTGTGCTAATATACACTGTATGCACTCCTATTTTGTGACTGTCAGTGGCTGTGTTTAACTCTGGAATAATTGTAGTGGTTTAGGTGAAGTTGCTTTGGAGCAACAGTGAAACTGAACCCAGTAGATCTGCCAGCTGTGCCATCTGCTTGGAAGCTTCCACAAACCAGAAGGTAGCAATACCCTTCTGTGAAGTCTCAGCCTTCAGACGTTTTGGCATTTCAGGGAGAGTTATATCTTTTCCATTTACTGATGCCTAAAGCTTAGGTAGCTTTGCACTGATATCAGTAAACAGATGCAACCTGAATAATGGTGTATTTATTTTGAATCCTTACAGCACTGAGGTGGCATCATCAGCATAATCTGATGGAAGTACCTTGTGAGAATTTCTGAGCAGTTAACCCTCTTCTCTCTACACAGATGTAGTAAACACTGCCAGACCTGATGAAAGAGCCATTATGACTTATGTTTCCTGTTACTACCATGCATTTGCTGGTGCTCAGAAGGTGAGACTGTAGAAGATGGATCAGATCTCATCCTTCACCTTCTGTCTTGTTTCTTTCAGCAGTTATTCCTCTTCCGATCTTTTCCTCACTAGTTACTAGGACAGCGTCTTAGAGCTGAGCTCATTTCCTTTTGCCTGATTTTCTCTGTGAGCCATTGTCTCAGTAGAGCCAGTAGTAGTCTATCCATTTGTTCTATAGGAACAAGCCTTCCTGTCTCATCTTTCTGTATATTTACTAGTAATATCCAGTAGGTTTTTGACAGCTGGTTAATGAATGGGATAGAGGACATTATTCTCTTTAATTGAACTTGTGTGCATTTATTTGAAGCACCTTTAAAAATGCAAGGTGAAAATAAGCTCATAGTGAAAAAACAATTTCAATAGCAGAATGCCATCTTTTTTGTCCCTGCTGGATATTATTCCTGCTACAGATGTCAAATCATCATAACAGATGCTCAGAGAATAAACCCTTCTCTTATGCTTTCAGGATTGTTTTTAAAATGTTAAATGCTTAATGGTAAGTACAAACAGCGACATAAAAGGTTGCTACTATGCAAAACAGACACAGAAACATACACAGACATCTCAGAACAGCTCTGGAATCATGTCCTAATGAAAAGAAGGAAAATTTTAAAAAGCAAGGCAGTTCAGAGTTGGACATACTTCAGGTATTAGTAACATAAAGAATACAGATATATAATGCTAAGGTTATAACTAATCCACATGCAACTTCCAGAGAACATCTCCCCAGATCAAAATGTAGTCTGTCCTTCCTGTGTCTTAGTAAAAAAAAACCCCACGTTTTAAGTCACCAGACATATGTGTGCCGGTTCTCAAGCAGATAGTCCTGGTAAAATTAAGGTCACTCCCCCTGTGACAGTACTGCAGGATCAAGCTTATTAAAAAATGTCCACCTCTTTGTAAGAGCTTGTGTTGAATTTCTAGTGTACGTTCTATTCTGTCAGCACCCATCAATCTAACACTAAATTTATTACAGCTTTGTAGAGTTTCCAGAGTACAGAGCTATGGACAAGAAAACAATCAGAACGACACTATATTGTGCTTTTATTTATTCATCCTGTTTTCTACTCCTCGATTCTTTTGTTTGTTTTGTTTTCATTTCTCCCCCCCCCTTTTGTAGATATTGTGAACACTCCCAAACCTGATGAGAGAGCTATCATGACATATGTGTCCTGCTTCTACCATGCTTTTGCTGGAGCAGAGCAGGTATTAATCAACTGTCCCTTCAGGTTGCTGTGTTTTTGATTGGTTGTTTCACATTTCCACTAGTTTATTAAAAAAAACTAATTTAGTACTTTGTGGTTTTAATTAACAATTGCAAGTATTCCTTTAGTACTAATACTTGTTTTTAACCAACACTTGAACCTGTTTTAGTTAATGTTCTGTAGCGAGTTGAACTTCTTTGATACCAATGGACATTCCTGTTTCTAATTTTGGGTCTTTATTTGGTGATGATAAAGACTATTTCAGAAAAACTGTATTTGAAGATACTGTGAAATGGAGTTGTTATTTGTTGCTACATCAACATCTTATGCATTTTCTGCATAGAAGAATATTTGACTTTTGGAGATTTGAGACTATTCTAGACTTACTCATGGTGAGTAGTGATTTAGGGGTAGATTTTCAAAGATGCCTAAAGATGCAGAAAGGCACAGAAGACATCCAACATAGTATTTGTGCCTGGTTCCCACTGAAGCCAATTGAATTATTGGTGGATCAAAGTACTAGTATAAATGGCAAGAATATCAGCAGCAGATCTGTCCTACAGGCTGAGATTCTCGCTTACAAATGTGGCATTTCCCACTGTTCTGCTTCATACATTTGTAGCGTACAAATGGACATAACCCAACTTATGTGAAAAAAATAATAAACCCCCCTTAAAGTAGTTGATATTTCTCTTTCCTCCTCAGGATTTCCTTTCTTTTCCTGTCCGGTAGGCCCCCTACACCTTATCAGAGCACAGCGATGCTATTGTGCCCTCTTGCTTCTGGGTATGAAGGGTTTGCTATTCAGGCAAAAGGGGGATTCCACATACTCTGTAACACAGGAGTCTACACAGATATTTATTCTATTAGATATACTCCAGACTCACATTTGTGTGAAAGTATAAATATGTTATGTCAAACTGTTAATGTAAATTTTAAATATGGCAGAGCTACACAGTGCCTTCGCAAATAAATTTGGCAGGAGGCATGAAAAGATTTGCTGTCAGTGGTTGAGCTGCATATATTCTCAAGGGTGTATGTACATATGATGTGCAAATACAGAGTGGTCTGGGACTCCTGAATCACATGATGTGTCTTTCCAGTGTGGCTAACAAATCTAATACTTTTTTTGTGTGATTTAAAAAAATTAGCCTAATAGGATGACTTTAAGAATGGCCTGAGTCATCTTTGAAAATAAAAGGTTTATTAGACAGCTATAATGGCAGTGTGTAATACTCCCTTGTATAATAAGGCTTCATTGTACAACCAGGTGCTTCTGTGCTGATCTGTGCCTTATTCAGGCCATTGGAATCTGTGACTAAAGAAGGAGGGTAAACATATATCTAAGTAACCTAGGAGCACAAATCAACAACTATAAAACAATGTGATTTTTATTTGCAGCAGCCGCATTCTCTCTCTTTCTCCAAGCCTGTACCTTTCTCAGAATGTGTTTATGAATATGTCCTGTTTATTTGCTGTGTTTTACAGGCTGAGACTGCAGCTAACCGGATCTGTAAGGTGCTTGCTGTGAATCAGGAAAATGAGAGGTTGATGGAGGAGTATGAGAGACTAGCAAGTGAGGTAAAGACAGCTGTATTCATAACATGCTGATAATTACGTTCATGAAATACTGAAAGCTGAAAGATACATGCACTGTCTGCAAGATAGGAAACTGAAGACACTATAAGGGTAAATCTCACAGTGGTAGGTTACAAAGCTCAGTTGCCCAAGATGTCAAGGTTCAGGTGACTCCTTTGCCACAGACTTCCTGTGTGACCTCCAGCAAGCCACTCAGTCTCATTAATGTGCAAAAAAAGGGTGTTTTGAGGCCTGTCATTGGTCTGCCCCAAGACCAGGCTTGCTGTCTCTCTAATCTCCAGAGATAGCCATCCTTGACCGCATGTGGAACACACAGGATCCCGTCACTCCAAGCAAGCCCGTTGGCTTTGTGTACTGCAAAGCACACCTGGACAGGGTGTCTCAGGGTGTTCACAATGCACCTGTGAACACAGGGAGCAAATGAATGAAGAAGGGGGCACATTGTACTCCTCCCATCCTTTCTTATTAAATGGCAAATTTGTTGAGTCAGGACTACAGATGTGTAGTGCACAAGTGAGAGCTCCCTTGTCTTTAATGCATAACCTGCAAAAACATACTGAGATCATAGACACAGAGTCAGTAGTGCTACATTGGCACGTACGGACTTCTGACTGAAGGTTTTTATATGACTGGAGTTACTTGGCTGGCGTCTGTCCTGATCTCGTAACTATGACTACTTGAAATATCAAGACCAATACTTTTGAAAGTGGCAAGTGATTTTGGGTAACTCAGGTTACACCTTGCATGTGTGTTCATCTATCTGAAAATCAGGGTATTTCTAGAAATACCTAGAATATCTGGGCAAATCAGTAAAAAAAGTATTGTGCAGCTTTGAAAATCTTGTGCTTACTTGCCATTAAGGCACTGATACCAACTGAAGTCAATAATATTAAAATGGAGCAAACTTGATTAGGATTTGTGCATTCAGTATGATCTTTTTTTGGTTGCTTTTCCATTGCCTTTATTTCAACTGTTTGTGTTGGCTTGAAAGCTTTTAGAATGGATTCGCCGGACAATTCCTTGGCTGGAAAACAGGACCCCAGAAAAAACAATGCAGGCTATGCAGAAGAAATTAGAGGATTTCCGGGACTACCGCCGCAAACACAAACCTCCCAAAGTCCAAGAGAAATGTCAACTGGAGATCAATTTCAACACCCTGCAGACAAAACTGAGAATCAGCAATCGGCCAGCTTTCATGCCATCAGAGGGAAAAATGGTTTCAGTAAGTAAAGGAGGCATTGATATTCCATTCTCCTTTTTATCAACCTTCTCACAAAAATTTCAGTGTGAAGGATTGAAAAGCCACTTTATCAATATCAAACGACTGTTTTTACATGTTCCCTTTCATTGTAGAATCTTGCTTCCTCTTAAGCATGCTCCTGCCTCTTTGAAGGCTTTCCCTAAGAGCAAATAGTCTTAAGATATGAGACGATACAGAGCTTTCTTTGGGAGCATTACCAATACTTCTCTATCAGTGAGGCCAGATAGTGTTTATTTAAGCAAAACTCACAGTGGTTTCACTGACAGTTTGGTCATCAGACTTACAGAAACAGACATTGTTCAATATATGTTTCTGCTTTTTTCTACTTTTTAAAATTAAATTTTGTTTTTTCTTATGACCATGAAGATAACAATAGTCAGTACCAAGAATTCTCATCTGCTGATAAGTATTGTGAGTTGACTGTGGGTCAAAACATTTCCTGTTGAATGTAGCAAACCTGTTCTATCTGTACTCTGTTCTATCATTGTGTTTTGGTTGCTTAGATTTGATAAACAGACGATTGCACTATCTGGAAAAGGCCATTGTCCACTCCCCATTGTCCTGGTTTCAGCTGGGATAGAGTTAACTGTCTTCCTAGTAGCTGGTACAGTGCTATGTTTTGAGTTCAGTATGTGAAGAATGTTGATTACACTGATGCTTTCAGTTGTTGCTAAGTAGTGTTTAGTCTAAAGTCAAGGATTTTTCAGCTTCTCATGCCCAGCCAGCAAGAAGGCTGGAGGGGCACAAGAAGCTGGCACAGGACACAGCCAGGGCACCTGACCCAAAGTGGCCAACAGGGTATTCCATACCAAGAGACGTCCCATTTATTATAGGAACTGGGAAGTGGGGGCAGGGAATCGCCGCTCGGGGACTAACTGGGTGTCGATCGGCGAGTGGTGAGCAATTGCAGTGTGCATCATTTGTACATTCCAATCCTTTCATTATTGCTGTTGTCATTTTATTAGTGTTATCATTGTCATTATTAGTTTCTTCTTTTCTGTTCTATTAAGCCGTTCTTATCTCAACCCACGGGTTTTGCTTCTTTTTCCCGATTTTCTCCCCCATCCCACTGTGTGTGTGTGGGGGAGTGAGTGAGCGGCTGCATGGTGCTTAGTTGCTGGCTGGGGTTAGACCACGACACCCATACACAAAAAATACTTCAGTTTCCTACTCGTGCCTTTGAGTTTCCGAGGAAGCTCACGAAACTTGTGTAAAGATTTTGTTTATGTTGTGGTTTAACCCCAGCCAGCAACTAAGCACCACACAGCCGCTCACTCACTCCCCCCCCACCCAGTAGGATGGGGGAGAGAATCTGAAAAAAAGTAAAACTTGTGGATTGAGATAAGAACAGGTTAATAGAACAGAAAGGAAGAAACTAATAATGATGATAATAACAATAATAAAATGACAATACTAATAAAAGGATTGGAATATACAAAACAGGTGATGCACAGTGCAATTGCTCACCACTTGCTGACTGAAGCCCAGTTATTTCCCAAGCAGCGATCCCCCCAGGCCAATTCCCACCGCTTTATATACTGGGCATGACGTCACATGGTATGGAATACCCCTTTGGCCAGTTTGGGTCAGCTGTCCTGGCTGTGTCCCTTCCCAACTTCTTGTGCCCCTCCAGCCTTCTTGCTGGGTGGGCACGAGAAGCTGAAAAATCCTTGGCTTAGTCTAAACACTACTTAGCAACAACTGAAAACATCAGTGTGTTATCAACATTCTTCTCATACTGAACCCAAACCATAACACTATACCAGCTACTAGAAAGAAAATCAACTCTATCCCAGCCAAAACCAGGACAGCCTGTCACTTCAGTTTCCTACTCATACCTTTGAGTTTCTAAGGAAGCTCACAAAACTGTGTACCACAAAGTGAAATGAGTTTGTGTTCCACATAAAATACAAACCAAATCCTCTTGACACTAATAATTTTGCTGTTGTCAACTTCCGAGAGCAAAGCACTTTGATAAGATAGGTATGTCATAACAGAACATGCACATTGTAAAATGGGAGGTAAAAGCAATATATCATGAAGACACTGAATGTATAGCTATGCTTGGAAGCTATTTGTATAGGAGTTCCTTTCGTGAACCCACCTGAATAGGGCACACTATTAGGAGCAGATATCTGGACTACAAGACTTCTTGAGCTGCCTGACAACATTTTCTATGGTTCTGTGATTTTACAAAAACTGGACATAAAAATTTCTCTTTTTTCAAGCAAAATTGTGAATGAATCAGAAATCTGCAAATTTGGACAGAAAGAGATTATAGTTTCATCCCCTCTCTCCCTTGTATTCTCTTCACAGGATATTGCCGGCGCTTGGCAGAGACTTGAACAAGCTGAGAAAGGCTATGAAGAGTGGCTGCTGAATGAAATACGAAGACTGGAGAGACTTGAACATTTGGCTGAGAAATTCAGGCAGAAGGCTTCCACTCATGAACAGTGGGCATATGGTGAGCAGAGATGACTTTTAACATTTTTAATGTTCTGATGTTCAAGGTTGAACTGTCAGTGCTGAATATTTGCTAGCCAGAGACTCACTCGTAAGTAGTTTGGACAGTTTTAGAAACCTAAAATAATAACAGATAAAATTGCACGTTTTGTTGACTAGTCATGTTCCTAACTTGTAGGCACGTTGCTAATGAAATGTAACTGTAAAAATCATAATCTTGAGGTAGTGAGTCAAACTTAATGGGAATATTCAGCATCTTAATAGAGGCCATTACTGCTAATGCATGCTTATGTATTTGTACACCGGCAATCCAACCAGGAATGCAGACAGACCATGGGTTAAATGTGAAATTATTAACTGAGTTATTCTGAGTTGATTATCATTTGGCCATCATGATGTTTTGAACAGTCCACATAAACTCCATGATAACGGACTCATTTCTGCTTTGCTCCATACCCTGGATAACACCCCATTTATAGTTGTGTTTTTGAATGGTAACCTAACCTTAGGTGTAGTTGTAACAGCTATAGGAGCATACACTGGCATATGGTTTTGTTGGAGACCATTAAATGTAGATCTGCTCTATCATCCTCTTGTTTGCCCCGACAACAGTCTTCCTGCTTCTGCCATGCTTCTGGCTTTCTCCAGCTAGAATCTTTTCACACTGTGAAAGTAAACCGGAGTCCATCCCTTAACACAGTTGCTGGAAGCATACAAGGCTGTAAATGGCTGCCAAGCAGATACTAGAAGGGAAACAACAGTGTTTATCAGCCCTGAGAGCCTATTTTCTGAGCATAAAGTACTCATGGTGACATGTTATGGCTGTTAGGCAGGGAAAACTTCACATAAGCTGGTACATAGCAAGTGAAACAATAGTCCCTTCTGGCTCTAGAATTCACAGAGCTGTGTAATGCCATGTGGTGAGCTGCAATTGTAGGGGCTGTCTGTTAGGATTCAGTTGTCCAGCGCAGGAGCTACTGAGGAGTAATATTTCAGTTTCTGATTTCCTCTTTCCTTCTCTAGCCTTTTGTAAATAGGTTGGCATTTTCCACTGACTATTAAGTGTTTGATACAAAAGGCAGCCACACATCTCAATTTTTTTGTTTGGTTTTTTTTGGAAGTGCTGCAATGAATAATGAATTGAAGGCAGAACACGAAAAAGAGTAACAACATTAGTAAGAGGGAAGCTGAGTGTAGCAGCGTGATTTCTGATTTTGTAAGTCTACTCTACAAAAGACTTATCACAATAGTTTAGAGTCCCAGTTTTTGCCAATATACCATTTTTATGCCAGTTTCTCAAGCAATGTAATACTTGCTATTTTAGACCAGTATAAACAGCCTGTGCAAAAATCAAGGAATTACTGAGAGATCTTTAAAAATATATATATGTCTGAGTAACACTGTTGTGCTGACAATTTGCTACTGATTTCAGTGGGGGTGGGACTTCATCTCATACATGTGATCACCATGCCTCAGTTTAAAAAGTTGACTAAATTTGCAATTGTTCTAACCAATGAATTTGTAAAAAATTACTAATATTTTAATTTCCTCTTTCAGGCAAAGAGCAGATCTTGCTTCAGAAGGATTATGAATCTGCTTCTCTGACAGAAGTCCGCGCCATGTTAAGGAAACATGAAGCTTTTGAGAGTGATTTGGCTGCTCACCAGGACAGGGTGGAACAGATCGCTGCCATTGCGCAGGAGCTGAAGTATGTTCCATTTAAAGGCTTGCAGCTGCTGACATTTAACTTTGCGATAAACTCTTTCCAATGAATTTGATAGTGTCATAGGTACCAACGTAAGAATTCCAGAGATAGCTTCGTAAGTATATTATCTGAGCTGGTCACTGAGACCTTTCCCTCATCTCCCCCTTACCCCCAACCAAATATAGATACTCAACTGACTAAAATTATTTGAAATCAAACATTTTAAAATTGACTTAACAGTAATATTTTAGCATTAGCTCTGCTGATGAGTCCATTGTGTGTTGATGGGAATCCTGGAGGTGTTTATTTCTCAGTTCATATGGTCTGCTGAGAGGTACTGGCTATGAGTTGTTTAACTTAGAAAATAATTTCACTTACACAAATTACAGATCAAGCATCTTCACTTTAAAATCAAGTATTTTCACACAAGTATATTGATCCTTTCAAAGGGCTTCATATCCCTAAATTATCCCCACAGTACTGGGTAATGCACGGACTTTTCTGAAGATGTAATTGTCTCTAGTATACTTATTTTCACAATCTCTTTGTATTATATTTGGCAGTGTCATTGTCTTCATTTTACAGAAGGGCAGTGGGGCATATGAAAACTAAGTAACTTGCTCAGGGTCACACAAGCAATCAAGCACACAAGCTTTCCTATAGGAGAGCAGGAGTTCTCACCCACGGTGCCATCAACTTAGCCAGAGGACCAACACTTGCTCACTCAGCGTACTATGCCCAGAGCAAACACAGTGAAAGCTGGGAACAATGCTACAACACATTTAGGCTACATCTGTATTGTTGACATCAACTGCATAGGTCAGGGATGTGAAAAGTCGAGGCCCCTGACTGACAGACATCCTTATGGCAGCAGAAATCCTGAGTGTTGATGCAGTTACTCTGGCTCAACTCTGTCTTTATCGGTGGAGCTTGCTTTTGGTTTTGGGAAGACTGTTAATTCACCTGTGTGAAGCACAGTTTTGTTGGCAAAGTTGTGCCCACACCAACAGGAATGTAGCGTTACATACTGATGGTCCCATTCTGGTAAAGTCTTGGTGCATACACAAAGATAAGCACATTTGATTTTTATAATCTTCTGCAGTTAATTGCAGCAGTTTTGTACAGTAAATCAGTGGCATTACTCCTGATCTTAGCAATTTGGCACATACTTAAATTCATTGCTCACCTGCATTATAAATCTGTAAAGCCAACAGGAACAAATGTGCAGTAGTGGTTAAAACAGGAGCCAAGATCAAAATTTTCAGATTCCTGCCCTTGGCTTCAGCTCTCCAAGTTTCAGCTTCTCACCTTCTTGAATAGGCAAAACAGTTACTGCTCAAAACTCAAGTGTTAAAAGCATGCCCTCTTTTCACTATGAAGGACCATGACTCATAAACAGCTCCACATTCATTAACAATTTAAAAATCAGAGAGTTGTCTAAAGATGTAGTTCATACCTGATAGCAACAGCACTTACAGTAATTGTATAATTCAAATGGATTTAGAAGAAAAGTCCTATCTTTCAAGATTATTTAAAGGAGGAAAAGTAAAGCACAGTGGGCAGAGTAAGCACTGGTTTTTAGTTAGTGTGAAAGAAGCCTAAAAAACACAGAGAATGGAGATTTCACTGAGTATGTGAGCTTATGAAAAACCTTCTGGCATGCCATGATCTCTGTTGTGGAGTTATTTGTTCCTCTTTGTACTAAAGAAAGTTTCTGAAACACCTAATCATTGTTAATTCAGCTTCAGCTTTACAAGTGATGAGAAACTTCGGGAATGTAGTATACATAGCACAGCATCTGCTTACCAGCGTTTTGAACCCTGTGTCCTTTACTGCTGGTGAGGCCAGTGAACACTGTATCCTGTCTATTTTAGGATTGTCTCTTCTCAGTTGTTTCAGTAATTTGCTGTGTGAAGTTAAACGAGTTATTTGTGGCCTGGGCTGCAAAGATGCTGAAAACCCATTGCTTTTAGAGATGCTCTACGTCAACTTCTCTGCTTCGTCATAAAATGGGGCTATCAGTGCCTGATTTTTCACTGAGACTCAGTAGCTCAGTTATGCTTAGTGCCCTTGGAGAACACTTAATGAAAAGTCATAAAGGTCAAGTGTTATCATTAGCTGCAAGCAAACGGACAACTTCTATTTAAATATTGATTTTAATTATTTATACATAATTCCTCACACAATGAAATTATGGAGGAACATGCCAATTTCTTTCTCCATTCATATTTTTAAAGAAGGATTGACTAATGTCTGGATGCTAAGAAATGTGGATTGGCACCTGGTACAAAGCCTATTAGTCAATGTGGGTATTTTTTTCTTAGGTTTTTTCATCACTTGATCAGGCCCTTATAGAAATCGTTATCATCATCTGTGTCCAAATTCCAAGTCAGTACATCTCCATGTTTTGTTTTAGTCAATCTCTTGGCTGCCTAATGTCACTATTTCAAAGGAGAGCAATTGCTGTGTGACCTTGAACTCTACCAGTTACAGTTTCCTGTCTGTTCTGGTATTTTCTGCTGCAGCAGCTCAGTCCACTGTGTGGTTAAGGTTAAAGGTGCTACAAGCTTGTTGATTGGTGCTGTTTAGATAAAGGATTTGTGCATGTGTGCAAGCAGGTGATTCCAGCCAGGATGCTGCAGTAAGATTGTTGTGTTCCAGCCTGTATAGACTTAGATATTCCTTGGCAATGAGGCATGACGAGGCTTGGACAGGGCTATGTACAAAGCTGGAAAAAGTCAGGCATTTCTAAAATGGAATTTGCCATTTATGGCATAGCAAATGCTAAATAGAACTTCAGTGAGCTGTACTATGAAATGCCATATTCATTTATGATCTTGTGTGCTCATTTCAATGTTTTCAATCATCAAGATAAAATTTTTTTTACTGTAGTTTCTTGTATATCCATCACTTCTAGTATAGCCACTTATTTTCAGCCAAGAAGAGCACTATCTGTAGCACTGATTTGCAGAGTCTTTTTGCTTCTGGAAACCTGGGCTCAAATTGTGCTTACATGCATGATTAACACGAGCCTGGTTCTGAAGCAGTGCTAAAGCATGTTGCTCAGCAGGTTATTTTTGTGACACTATCACGGTTCTGAAAGTGAGCTCGTACGTAAGTTTTCTTCTTCTCTGAATCAGGACAAAATTTGACTGAATTTTTAATTCTTTACAGATAAGATTGAATTACTTGTAAGATCAATAGGAATAGCTTGATGATTTTTAGTTTCTAAAGGCTGTAGATTTCAAATAACCAAATGAATAGAAATGGCTGTGCTCTTAGAAGATCTGTAACATGTGCAGCACTACTTTGTGTATGTATGATAAGCAAAAGTTTTTATAAAATGTGAAATCTAGTCTCTTCACAGCTTCAATGTTGAGAGAGATACAAAAACTAATAGGACAAGGAATGTAAACCTGTGTTTTATTTCCAAGTAAATAATCTCCTATGAGTTGTTATTTTTACCTCTGCTCCTGCTTTGAGCAGAAAAATGTTCTTTGACATGTATCATACACTTATTTGAAGTAAACTACAGCAGGCCCAGAAAGGCAGTGGAGCTACGCTGTTTAATGCCATTTGGTAATCTAACTTATGATTTTTGACCCACGGGTGCCCTTTTTAAAAGTTGTTTTGATAATATTATTCTCCTACCTATTTGTCCACAGCACATACCCCTGGAAGAAATAGGATAGCAGAGATCTTATGGGGAATGACTGAACCTCCCTGGCAGAGCCGGTGGAGGAACGTTGCACATTACCTTCCAGGACTTTGACCAGAGCTGGTACAATCAGTCCCTCACTTTCATGGAAGGACACCTGCCCTTATCATAATCGACAAAAGGAGATAAGTGATCCATTGAAGCAAAAATGAAATTTGGAGTACTCACAGGGATGTGACCTGGAGTATCTGGAAAAATACCCTGTCCATATTCTGGTATATTAGATTTGGTATGCGAAGAGACCAGAATATGAATCTCCACATCCCATCCACTTGGTGAGCTCACAGCTCACACAGGAACATCATCTAATAATCTCAATATGCTATAACAACAAAACCCAACTTCCAGCCAAAAACTCATAGCAGCAAAATATATCTCAGCCTGTTTCATCCAAAACTCCATGCTTCCAACTTAAAATTTCTTAATAGATAGATGGCTTTTCCCTTGAAGGCTAAGAAAAAGGCTTGCTCTCAAGGAGGTAGCAAGTTTTTGAGTTAAGAAGCCCTTGTATAGTGTGACTTGCTGGCAGCTTCCTCCTTACATGTAACAGTTCTGCTTTCACAATTTTGGGTTGGTTTTGTTATTTTTTTTAAATTGTTATGGCATTTTATTTTTTACTTGTTTTACCATTCTTCACTTTCAACAGTCAATTGATTGCAGCACATGTGAAGCCTCTTTTAAACAGAATAGTTCATATACTTCTCAACTTTATCCTGAACCAGATTGCTCTGACTGAGCTTAGAGGAGGAAGCATGAACACTGCCCCTGGCCTACAGTGTGGCTTCACAGAGGAAAGCTACCTCTGTTCTCATTTTGTCCTCTGATTCTCTAAGTTACTGGTGGAGTGATCTGTACATTCCTCTTACCAATTGCCTAGAGAAGAATTCTCAAAAGAAGGAAACAAATTCTATCTGCATTTAAAGTCTTGTTCAAGCCTTAAAGTAAACCTTAGCTTCATACTGCCATGCTGTCACATAATCACACTCTGCAATGTTTAGTACTGGGCAAAGTGTCCTCAAGGAGCAGCCAAGAGCTAAATTCAGTGGATGATGATACACCAATAAAAGTGAGCTTCCAAAGTGCCAAACACATGTATTTTATTATGGTCATGGTGGCTGCAGCAGAACCAAGGGGATTATCTGTCACTGAGATAAAAAATTCTATTTGAGATAGACTCAGTGCAGAATCTCAGGACAGAGCCTTAAAAAGTTATTCCAGTCTTAGGCAGAATAGTAAGTTGCTTTCTGGCAGGATAACATAAGCCTATTAAGCAGGTGAAAAAGCAATGCTAACTGCTACATCCTTTCTGGGTGCACTGATTCATGCTGGTGGCATACGTGGGTCTGGAGATCCCTGCTCTCTCACCCAGCCAGTTCTAGCGTGTAGCTCTGTGAGGAGTTTCTGGAGAGGAAGATGAAAATTTTTCTCTGTGCCCCATATCTGAGCAGCCCCTATTAGTATTGCCAGGCCTGTGAGAGAGAGATTATGCTTTGAATGCAACCTGAGGTCTGTTTCTCAGTTAAATAATTTCAGACCATATGAAGCTGGAAAGGATCATTAGATTATTTAAATCGAAACGTATATTTCAGGCTAATTAATTTTAAACTGTACCAATCTTCAGAAACTTGATAAAGCCCCAGACTGAAGCATTCTGGTCTTCAGGAGATCGAATTGCTTGTGCCACAGGAATAGCTGAGACAAAGATGGTTAGACATCTTATTTGTCTTTAATACCTGGATGTCACAGATGGATACTTGATTTTTCTCACAACAGAGGAGCTTGATCCTGTTTCTGTACTGTGCTTCTTGAAACATCTAGATCACACATGTCTATACTGCAACACTTGCTTACCTAGAGGAGAAATATTGCAAAAAAGAGGGGAAGAATTACTGAGGGCCAGTGGAAGAGTGTGAACAATGCAACTGCTCCTGTCTTTCAGAAAGTCACGCAGATTTTTGTCTTCATTCTTTCTTAGTGAACTGGACTACCATGACGCTGCAAGTGTCAATGATAGATGCCAAAAGATATGTGACCAATGGGACAGCCTGGGAACACTTACTCAGAAAAGGAGAGAGGCACTGGAGGTAAACCATATAACAATGATCAGCAGCTGAGCTGAGGCAGGAAGTGGGGAATGAACCGTTTGTTTCAGATCTAGAAACAGTGCCGTTGAGCATCCACTTTGGAATCCAAACAGCAACAAACCCTTTCCTCAGATCTCCTTTTCATTTTAGTGTGGTTTCATTTGCAAAGAGATTGAATTGCTCAGAGCAGACTTGACAGTACTCAGCTGCCAAGGACAGTTCTAAAGCAGCAACAAATGGCATGTGGTTTATAGTACCACTCTTAGGGAATTTGATGTCCAGCAAGAATAACAAAAGCCATTAGGTGCTTACCTTTTCATACTTGTCTGAGCTTAATCAGATGAGATACGGGATAATGGCCAGCACTCATTAATTTTTTTGGTAGCAAGTATTCCAAAGCACTGAGATACTTTCCAAAATCTTGTTCCTTAAGAAAAGAGGAAGTCGCACCCATGTATGCCAAGGTGGAAAACATATGTTTAACTCTTCCTTTTTATACTTAAAAGAAATTACTAAAGCAAGATTAGCAGATTTTAATTGATTTGCGATAGATCACAATAACAAAAATACTTAAAATATCAGTAGTGAGCAATTTCACCTGTTATCCTTCAAAGGCATATACTCTTTTTAACATGTTGGATATGAGTATCTTTACTGCAATTAGTCCTATTGCCTTGAGTAAGAACCCTTAAAGCAGGTGGTGAAATCAGTCAACCATACAATCAATTGCTTTTGAAAAGATGAGGCATGACTTTGTGCATGGGTGGGTATGTATGTACAGTTAGGTCTTGCCCTACTAACGAAGGAATGTACCTTTCCCAACCTGTACAGAGGACAGAGAAATTGCTCGAAACAATTGATCAGCTTCACCTGGAGTTTGCCAAAAGAGCTGCTCCTTTCAACAACTGGATGGAAGGTGCTATGGAAGACCTACAGGACATGTTTATTGTTCATAGCATAGAGGAAATTCAGGTAAATCATTGTCTATTTTTTGGCTTACAGACATAGGGAAAACAAGAAAGGAAGCTTTTCCTTCTTAGAGAGTAGAACACGTGTAACAAAAAAACCTCCCATATCTGTCTTGACGTTTTCTTTGTGATAGGCAATGTCTGCTCTATTATAAATAGGGTTTCTCATTGGTATGAAAGCATATTCCAGACATCATGGAAGAAGCAATGGTCCTGATAAAGTCAACGAGGCTGTTTCATGAATGTATCTACATGTATTATTTCTTGTATCTACAGATACATGTAGACAGGGTGTTTGAGAGGCTGAGAGAGGAACTGTGCTTATTTACAGCAGATGTTCCAGATATGGGAAGAAACATTAAAGTTTTCATGCTTTCCCTCTCTGTTTCTGATTTTAGAGTTTAATCTCTGCACATGATCAATTTAAAGCTACTTTGCCAGAGGCAGATGGTGAAAGACAGGCCATACTGTCAATCCAGAATGAAGTTGAAAAAGTTATTCAGAGTTACAGCATGAGAATAAGCGCAAGCAATCCTTACAGCACTGTTACTGTGGAAGAGATTCGTAGCAAGTGGGAAAAGGTAATGTGTGCTAAATACATAAAGGACGGGGTAACATAGTATTCAAGTTTAGGAATACTGAGAATATTCAGAGAACTTTACAATAAATCTGTAAATTAATCTAGATAACCCGATGCCAGAATGAACTTTCTACAGTATCTAATGCTCTCTCGTATGTTTGCTAGGCTCACTTCACAATATCCCTTGCTCCCATCACTCAACATTATCTAAGTCCTTTTTGGCAGGGCAAGAGAAGCATGTGTTGGGGCTACTGCAGAGCTGGTGTCTGGCCAGTGGATGGGCCAGGGGGTGCCATGAGAAGAAGAGAAAATTATTGCATTCTTTCTCTCAATATAAACAGTAGTTTGTGTGTCTTTTTTACCCAGCTGCTGCTTTTCACAAATGTTGTAAAAAACTAGCATCTTTGGGACCATTAATGTTCTGTCCAGTTACACTGAAATTGGCAATTACCTTAAGATATTACTGAGGAGGGATTAAAGAGAGGCTCCTTGAGCAATCACACAAACTTTATTTCATTAGGAACCAAGACAGATACTATGCTGAAGGTAAATGATTGTGTAGAATGTATGAATTTACCAAATATATAAACTTACACACCCTCAATGGGTTATAAAAACCAAGCAATAAGGACTAAATTCAGAATCTCCCAGGGCAATCCAGAAGGGTAAGCAAAAAAAAAGCATTTGCAGCGTATTAGAGACCTTCAGATATACATGATGGACAGAATGTGTCTCATGTTATCCTACCATAATGGCTGTGCTTGAATGAAATGTTTTGCCCCAACTATTCTTAGCACAATTACTTAGAGATTGAAAAATCACCTGTGTTTCAAAAGAAAAACAAAGTAACTGTTCTAATAGCAGTCCAAGTTAAATAATTGTCTTGCACTTGAATCCATTCAGAGGTGAGAATTTCTTCTCTCTCCACGTCAGTCTCTCTGGTCAGGCTGCCTAAGACCATATTAGCAATTTCTTATGTTAGCACAGAATTGGTAAATAGTGATCATGTTTCTGGCTTGTCCTTCTGATATCAACCTTCAGACCAATAAGAAAAAATTAGTAACTGTAGATTTATTTCTTCCATTTGTTTTTAAACTATTCAACTGTGCCTACTCACACTCAGCGATTTCCCACTGTAACAGGTGAAGCAGCTGGTGCCTCAGAGGGATCAATCCTTGCAGGAGGAGCTAGCCCGCCAGCATGCCAACGAGCGCTTGCGTCGCCAGTTTGCTGCTCAGGCCAATGTCATTGGGCCATGGATCCAGACCAAGATGGAGGTGAGTGTCAGACCCTCACGCAGAAGCTGATGAACAAAGTGGTTTAAAATTTTTTCTCTCAGCTTTATATACAGGACAACAGCAATTTCCATGATAGTTCAGCTGTTTGATCCTGAAGTATTTAGCACCTGTTAAGATGATTTTTAAAACAGTGGAAGCTTGTACAAGTGCTATCTTGATGCGAAGGAGATGTGGCTTTGAAAAATCCACCACTAAACAATTTCTATTTAGCTTCTGATTTCTGTAGAGGAAAGATACCAGGATCACTGGGGTCTCAGTACTAATTCCAGAAATAAATATGCCACATTTCTTTTGAAATGTATTTTCTGTAGCAAAATTTCTTGTCTCCACTGTATGAAAGTTCTATTAGTATTGTTTCTTAGTATGAAAATATTACATACTTATCTGAACGTTGGTCAAATTAGAAAATTTGAATGTTAAATTTTGCGGGGCTGGGGGGGGGTGTCTTTGTTTCTTTTGACAGGAAATTGCCCGCAGCTCCATTGAAATGACAGGGCCTTTGGAGGACCAGATGAATCAGCTGAAGCAATATGAGCACAATATCATTAATTATAAACACAACATTGACAAACTGGAAGGAGATCATCAGCTTATACAAGAAGCCCTGGTGTTTGACAACAAGCACACCAACTATACTATGGAGGTAGCCATTTACTCCCTTTTGCACTTGTTAGTTTATTCTGCCCTCTTCTGCCATATAACTACCTTCCCTGAACTGAAGAGACAGCAACAGAGGATGGAATTTGGCAGACTTTCTGATAATCTCATAAGACTTGTTTTATTTTCACTTATTTTTACTTTTGGTGAAGAAGTACCCGTTTAGAAACCAGTTCCATATTTTTCTGAAGGTAATTTTTATTTTTAATGATCCTTGGTCATAATACAGAGTTAGTGGTATGGAAAAGGCATCACATAAATATTTAGAGCTGATTTTTTGCTTACTGTACTTTTTATACTCCTAGAAGAATGTATTTGGTTCTTTAATAAATCAGTATTTTCTCTCTCATAGCACATCCGTGTTGGATGGGAGCTCCTACTTACCACCATTGCTCGAACTATCAATGAGGTTGAGACTCAGATCCTCACAAGAGATGCCAAGGGTATCACCCAGGAACAAATGAATGACTTCAGAGCATCATTCAATCATTTTGACAGGGTACAGTACTCCTGCTTTTTCTCAACTAGCAAAATTTATTGTTCCCCAAACCAAGTTCTTTTCATTCCAAATGTAAGCCTTTTAAAAAACTGCAAATGCAGTAGCAATGAGCTCTTTTTAAAACAGCAAAAAAGATCTGTTAACAAAGAATTTACAGCCTTATGAAATCATAGCATTGTACAGATACATTAAAGATTAATATTTACTCTTTAAATGTATTGCAGAATTATAGTTCTGCTAATATGGTTGAGTCGTTGTTCAAATAACAGGCAGAACTGGCTAAATCTGTGTGTTTTGGAAAATAATGTGCCCCTTTATTTTAAAGCAGTGCAGGGTGTTCTATGTACTTGCCAGCCATTTCCATCTCATTAAATTTAGCTGTAATCTGGATTACAGGTTTGGTTTTTTTAGTTAGATTCACAACTTGTCCCCCTAGAAATAGATTTGTAGGGAATATAGCTGAGGCACTGACAGCTGTCAAGGAAAATCCTTTATTTTTCTGGCTGTATGTGGGAAATAAGAGGCTGGTTTCTTTCAGTTGTCTAATCATGGATGAATAAAAAAGTAGGAATGAAAACACTGTTGTGAAGAAACTTAACTCACTCCTTCTGTAAGTTACACAGTATTGATGGATAGAAGGTTAAAAAGATAGCTATTAATAGACACAATAGCAAAATACATGCAGACAGGAATCTGACATTCCCAGTTGGAGAACAATCTATACATGAGTTAGCTCTGCTGGCTCTGTGCTCACATGAACCCACCTTCAAAACCAAGTTCACATTTCAAATACTGAAAAAAGATTACCATAATGCAGCACCAGGCTGTTGGTTTTTTCCCAGGACAGATTCCTGTAGTTAGCAGACTGTGCTTAACCCCCGACTTATATTCTGTTATCACATGAGTCGGCTCCTTCAAATCATTTCAGGCTGTAGCAAAATGCCACTTTCTTTTCACTGACATCTGTTTGTCCAGCCCTACTCAAAATGGTTACCCATACCTGGACTTATACTTGATGTGCATTGGATGCTGACAGCCATAGTTTGCTAAATATTCTTTAGAATATCCTTAATTGTTTAGAAGAAAAAGCAAAACTGCCAAACCTCTGCTTTCTGAAGAAACACACAAGCATAGGAAAGGTTAGCTACACAGGAACCAGGAACAGATTTTATGGAAAATCTTAATGTGGTTCTAGTGCAGCATAATTCCTTTTTGTATTTTCTAAGGAAGCAGAAGATAACATCACAGAAGCAGAGATAAATATCCTGGGGTGGAAGGAAGTAGCATACTAAATGTCTTTCCCAATGCACTGGAGCAGATAACTGAGCAATTAGAGCTATTAAAAGCAGCCAGAGTACCAGGCCTGGATAAATTACACGCCAGGATTTGAGAGACCCTATTAAGGGTAACCAGGGACTTTGCACAAAGATTTGACAGCTCCCTAATGATAAGCAAGCAAGGTGACTGAATCCTAGTATGTCTTAGACTAGATGGCCATTTCTAGCATCCCTGTTTCTTTGTGGTTCATAGATGATTTCTCTGCCACGCTCGCAGCAGGGCTGGTTCAGTGGCTGAGGAGATATTATGGGCATCTCTTCGTGCCTCAGAAGGTCTTGAGGGGAGAAGCTAAATCCTACACTAACCAGCCCTATTGTTATGGATCTTTAGGCTTTGCAGATACAGTAAGACTTTGAGATACCGAAGGATACAACAGAGCAAGGCCTTAGGAAATGTTGTATGGCCTGGAAAAGGGTACTTATATCACACAGCTGCAGGCAGGTTGGAGATGGGCTATGACAGTAACGTGCAACACAGAAGTGCTTCCCAGCTCCTAGATCCTTGCCTATCCTTGGCTGTCTGCTTTCTTCAGGCGGTAATGAGTCACGGCTCCTGGCAGTGTCCCTTTGCCCTTGCTTCAGTTGCAGGAAGCCTGAGTGGCTGGGTCAGTAGTGGAAGGAGATGGATGCTTCATCAGTTTCTATGGCCTCAACAACCTGGGCCTGGGCTGCAAGTTTAGCTGCAGACCTTGCCTTCCCCCATGACAGATAAAATCCAAAGGCCCTAAAAAAAGAGGACTGGAAGGATCACGTTAAGGGAAGGACCGTTTTCCATATGCCCCCTTTAGTATACTCCTCCCCTTAGCATCAGACATGGGAAATTGGTCTAGGAGGGCTTTTGCACTGACACAGTGCAACAATTATGTTCTTAGTAGCATAATGCAAGTTAAAGAAAGGAAGAAGGTTAAGATCTAAAACCACTCAGCCATCCAGCCAGGCTTTCTGGAGGGGACAGATAGTGGAAATACTGATAAAAGTGGAGCTTATACTGATTAAATTACACTGTAATTTAATGGACAGATGCGACTCAATCTACACAGGCTAGAAGGAGACATTGGACAAACATGTTTGAGAGAGGCAGGCTTGTTTTTCATTTTTATGTCCTTCCTATGTCCTTGCACACTCGAATATTTAGTGTAGGTGAATAAAGGAAACCTAGAGTGCTTCAGGGTTACTTCGGGGTACACAAAATAATGAAGACTCTAAACTTGGAATTTAGATAGAGAAGGCAGTAATGGATTCTTTTATGGTCTCAATTACCTTAAATAGAAATTAAGACGAAATTTGATCATCTGAACGTAAGCACTAACATGAAAAGTACTGGCTTCTCCATGTCAGACAGAATTAGCAGTATATGTAATAATTTTGTTGTGCTTAGCAGCATTTCCAAATGCCTGACATAGTTTAAAAAATACACTGAAAGAATTGGACTGCTATTCACAATGATGAATAGCCAGAAAAGATCCCCCAAATTAATACTGTCCCTGATGAGTAGGCTTTAAATACCTAACTACAACAGAATCATTTATGCATGCTATAGCTCGGACTTCTGTGGCATTTCTCCAATTTAAGACATATCTTAATGTTTGACTCTTAGTGTGTCTTGAGGATGTCAGCGGAGTACTAATATGCAGAGTAGCTCCCTTCCCCATTTTAAAGAATGTATTTTGGTACACATAAACCTAACAACTTTTTATGGAGTGCTTCTAGAAACAACTTTCTTTGCTTATAAATCTGAGGAAGGAACCCCTACCTTCCTGCCCAGGAAGAATATATATAAAAAAATAATCTTACAGTTCATAATCCATTATGGGGCTTAACTCTGCAATTGTTAATCCTCTGAAACAGAGCTAAATAATTGGGTGAATTGTTTTAAATGGCTTCTACATGTTGAATATTTGAAAGAAAACTATTTGTTATTTTACAAGGTTGGGGGGGGGTGGGGCTACATGCCCCTGATTCTCAAACTGCAGTGAGTAAGTAAGCACCATGCATGTAAGAATTACAAGGGCAGGAAGAGCTGTGTTTCTTTCCGTGCATCCACCAGCAGAGATGTAGTAGCACAGAAAGCATTACAAGTCATCCTCGTTGAAGGCAGCGGTAATACACTATCTCCCTTGGGGCAAGGCGGCAGCCCTCTAGGCTCCTGTGTTTCCAACAGGCATGTGCGCACGCTGGGAGCCCACAGGTTATTCCTGAGGATGCTGCTGCTTACCCACTCCTCCTTGCTGGAGGCTGTGCCTGAAGGCACAGTCTAGTTGTAGGTATACATATAAATCTTTAGCAATGCTGGTATATTTCCTTCCTTAATGTGACTGCATAGAGGAAAAAAAGAGAAAGTGGGACACAATGTCTGAATCACAGAAGCAGTTTAGAACTGTTCCAAATGGTGCATAGCTGAATTATGGTATGCAGACAAATTGGGACACCAACACAGATATGTTGTCAGTCACTGGTTTTGAAGTCTTTTTATGCAGGAATTCCTTTTTCAGATTCAGTATATTTAGTAAATTCTAAATAAGACTGCAAAGTATGTGATAAAATATCCACAGCCACTCTGCATGTAATATCCTAATGGCTGTTAATATATTCTACTATGGATTTTTATGCAAACTACAGGTTTTAAGTGGGAGCTGTGCAGAACAATAGCATCATGCCACCCTATATTCTACTAACAGAAGAACAACAGCTCCCTATTAAAGTAACCACATGATCAGGCTTATGTAGGTCAATTAGCATTCAGGAAACTGAAGGACATATTTAAGAATGGATTACTTTGACTCAGAAGCTCACTTGTTTTATAAGGCCACGTATAAATCACGAAGGGGAAGGATAAGATTTCTGGGGACTAATAATGAAAGATGGAGGGGGATTTCAGTGTTTTACTTTGTATTGACAGGAAAAGATGAACAAGGCAAAGTTATTTATATGCTTTATAAATATAAAGTGCTTAATATAAAGTGCTTCAGTGCTTAATGTTGGTCTGCAAAAAATAAAGAACAGTTTCCCAATGAGAAAGCCCTTGCATGGGCTTGATCTATGCATTAATTGCAAAATACCATAGTATCCCATGAAACTCTCATATACTGCAAAGGCAAAGATGCCTTTTTAGGCCATATATGACGCAGATTAAAAAAAAGCACTATGAGAATATGAGAACCTGCTATAGCACGTGGCACAACTACTTGGACCTTACTGGGGAGTCCCACTTAACCAGATGATGGTTGTGAGCTCCAGCACAACCATTGTGCTCCTCTCCTAAAGAAAATGGTTTCTTGGTAGGTGTGCTGGCCTCTGTCACTCCTGTCTGCCCTTCGCTACCTGTTGCACAACTACCGCTGCCATGTGTGCCTGGTTAGGGAGCTTGTGCACATACTGACCACCCACCCTCCTGGTGTAGTCAAGTAGCTAATAGTCCTCTTCCAGTGCCTGGCAGAGGAGATGGAGGCACAGGATTTGGCTCCTAGCTCCCATTTTTATATCATTTTATTTGCAGTCACACAGTAAAATCTTCGGCTTTAGAAATATAGTAAAATGAGCTGACTTCGCTCCTGGTGGGACCTGCTGTAGCCTGTCTCCAGGATGTTTTTTGAAAGTTTCAAGGCAGCCTGGATTAACATTTTCAGAATGATAAAATAAACCATTTTGAATGCTTTATAGCAGGAATGATCCTGTAAAATGGAAATATTAAAGGAAAAAAACTTCACTGTTATGATGGCTTTTAACTAAATGCTGCTCCAGCTTTGCAGCTTTGCTTTATCTCTTGTCATTGACTTCCCGCTGTTATTTTTCATCTTCCCTTTATGGAGCTGGTGGAGGTTGATGCAGAGGGAGTCAATATAATAACAGCATGATATGTCAAAAATGCATGGCATTATGAACTTTATAAAGCACCACTTTATCCTATTACTATAATAATAAACCCAGTGCATTTGTTAAAACTCCTATAATTTTAGTTATGCATAACTATACAGAAATTTTAAAAAATAAATTATTCATCTAGCAGGCAAATATGTAGCAGACAGAAAACCTTGGATCTTCTCCAAACTGTCAGTCTGTAAAATCAATAAGGGTAATAATTTTTTATCTTGGAACATCTCTTTAATTGTATTCATGTTAACTCAATCTGAAGTACACCTCTGATAAGGATGCATTTTGTACAAACGGGAAGAAAAAGATGAGACAGTCTGTTTTTAAGAAGATAGTGTGACTTTCTTGACCTGCAAAATGGAAAAAAAAATTGGTTCAAAACAATGATCCAGTTTGATGTGGTGTTACTAGGAGCCATTTAAGCCTGGAAATCAATGGGGCTTTTTTAAAGTCAGTTTTCAAAGCAAAACCTTACTGGATAGATTATTAAAGAAGACAGATAACTGAAAATAAGTTATGTCAGTTATAAATTCATTTTGGATCTAGACAAGAAATCAATTGTTTTGTTCTACTCTCTCTTGAGATATGCATATGCAGTTGTTAAGTAATATTATCAGATCAAGAGTGAAGTAACAGTAATTGAGTGGGGAAAAAATGTTTTACCCAGGTTCAGTGATCTTTTTACTGCATCTCTCACACACTGTATGACAATAGAAAATGAAGGAAGCAAAAATGTTAAAAAAGTACCTGTAGAGGAAGCACAGTTTTAACTCTGTAGCTGAAGTAAGGACCCTCTTCTACTAAGAAAAAAACTTAAAGCATGAAACTGCAAAAGTTGTACACTTTTAGGTAATTCATTCCAATATGTTGACGTTACATTTCCATGAACTTCTGTAAAAACATGGTTATTAATACAAGAGTAGAATGTTCTGTACTAACCAACTAACCTGATCTGTGATTTTTCTTTCTTTCCTTTCACCTTCCCAAATGCATGACCTGTGATGGGATGCTAGGATGAATCTGACAATCTACATTCTGATGAATTTAAAGCCTGCCTCATCAGTCTAGGACAGGTTGGAAATGACCTGCAGGTAGAAGAAACTGATATTGTTCTGTTTTCGGATAGGCCAATATAATAATAGCCAAAGAGGTTGTGGATTTAAACTCCAATGTATTGATCATAATGCTTTAAAAACATCCTGCCTCTGGGAAGACAATTGGATTAGATGGACTGTCAGCATCACTTGGAACCATATTTTTCTATGCGTTTTCCAAAGATTTTTCAGGTTGTTTCTTTTACTTGGTTTGAGATGTTTTATTTGGACTTTAGTAGATAACTATGGGGAGCTCCTATGCTTCTTGCACTCAGACTCTTGCTAATTTTCATTTGCTCAGACTCAATACAAGCTCTCTACTGCTCTCTCCTGATTTAGGATGACACAATTCTCTCCTACATTGTATCACAACACAGAGGAAACATTTATTTACCTTCTTACTATCATGCCATTTAATGTTTATGCAGCTTTGAGTCAGGGATGCCACAGATATGTTACTGCCTGGAAAATGAGCAACTTCCTTATATACAAGGAAGTATATATACAACCAACCTCCTTGTAAGTCTTGCAAGTCTCATCCTTTTAGCCAGTATGCACATCTCTTTGCTGTAGTCCAGGTCTTGATAGCCTGCAGCCAGAAGGAAAATCCCTGTACTTATTTCCCATATGTCAGCAGACAGCTCTCATATTGTACCTACCTTAGCCTTGGAGTGGAATATTTTAAATAGTCAGTGAAACACTATTTTCAGACTGTTTTTAACTATACTTTTGGTCACTACAGCATCCCATGCAGAACCTTTCAAAGACATTTCATATCAGGGAGGCAGCTTGAGCATCTCCTGAGTTTGACTAGTGTAGTAACAAACTTTTCTCCTTGCCCTTCTCTTTGTCTTCTCTGGTTGTGTTCTCTGTATTCTTGTCTCATGCACATCCTCCTCTCCCTTATCTCTCCCCTGACCTTTCCTGATGTTACTTTTTGTGGTGAAAATGTCTGTTTCCTGTGTGTAATATGTTAGTTACTTCTTCCTCCTTTAAAACTGATGATGGTTCTGGTCACCTGCTTGGGCAATATCAATGAATACCGTTCATACACTGGATCCAATATGCCAATGGTCTAAACTCGTCATCTCTCTGGAAATTACCTTGGATTCTTCAAACCTTCCCTTCTATATTTCTTACATTGTTTTGGTCAATAGAGGAAGAATGGATTGATGGACCATGATGATTTCAGAGCTTGCTTAATTTCAATGGGTTATGATTTGGTATGAATTTTAAGAAATGATGGCAACTGATTCTGCTTACAGTTTATAACATTAACCACAGCAACACTAAAGCTTATTTAAATAGACAGAATACTAATAATATAATTCACACTAGAGATACTAGTTTGGTTTTTTGCTTTTTCTCTGTTTTCAAATTGTTAAAAAGGAAGTTAAAAGTAAAACTAGACACTTGAGAATCATATTCTATGGTTGCTGCATTGCTCTTTGAATTAAGGAAACTTTAAAAGTTGAAATTAACAGTTATTAATTTTTTTTTCTTTCTCCTTTTTTATCTGCATGAAGATTAATGAGTTTGATGCTGTGTAATTATCATAAACTAGCTTTGGGGGTTGCATTTTCTTTCCTTCACTTCTTTATTCTAAAAATTTCCCCCCGAATTCACTGTTTAGTGGAAAAAAGGACTAGCCTTAGTTGAACTGTCCTATATTTGACATGAAATTTTCAGAATTATTTCCCTTACTTCTTAGTTCACTGGGTCTGCAAGTACACTGCTTCTTGGACTATTGTTTCACCTCCCTGTGCGGTACCTAAATTACAGTGGTTTTAGGATGGGGTGGAAAACAAAGTGTTAAGTTAAAACGAGTTAAACAGGCATTGAGGAAGGGTGGGTGGGGGGAGAGGTTGCAGAAAATTAATTGAAAGGTACATGCTATGTATTTAAGACAAAGAATACATTTTTCAAAAGCACCAAGTCCTTTTGACAAAAGAGGCATGGGCATTTAAGATCCCAGATTTGATTGTCTCTGACGTTAATGATCCTAAGTCAGGCAGATGCTTTAAAGGCTTTGTAACCACTGGTCCCTACTGGTTCATGAGAGACACAGGCTGTTGGCGATTGATATTACGGTGACCATTTTTTTTTGTTTCGGATTCTGTGAAAGGGTGAAGCTGAGTTTGCCCGAATCATGTCTCTGGTTGACCCCAATGGGCAAGGAACCGTCACTTTCCAGTCCTTCATTGACTTCATGACCAGAGAAACAGCAGACACAGACACGGCTGAGCAAGTGATAGCTTCCTTCAGAATCCTGGCTTCAGATAAGGTCAGTCGTCATGCTGCTGGCTGTAAGGATTCAGCAACTCTCCTATTTAGCCCTTCTTTGCTGAAAGTTGTGCACAAGCCTTTTAGTAATAGTGAAGCTTTGTTTTCAGTCTGTAAGACTTCAGAGAAAGCGCTTGCCTTTGGAACCAAGACTCTTAGCTGAAATGGGTGCAGAATTCAAGACTTGGTCTGTATATCACATATATATCACATAGAGCCAACATAAAATAGACATCTTAGACAAGACAGTTTGTCTGTGTAATGGATATGTTGTACATCAGGTTATTTCCACACAACAGCCTTGATTAGAGAGGCAATCATTCTGCCTTTCATGCTGTTGTCTGGATGTTTCAATGCAGAGTTTGGCCCTCTAGAACATAGCCTGGGTCAGTTGCACAAGACTACACCAAAATGCGAGCCATGTTGTGACCTGACAGCTCATTCAACAGGGCAATGCAATGTGGTGTGCCCCTATCCTAGGAGCAGCAGGAGGAGGAAGCCTCCTCTAGTTACTGGGTTCGCAGAGGAATTGGCATACTTTCCTCCCCATAGCCAGATCCACTGGTGAGTGAGTGGTGTATGAAGATGAAAGGGAGGATAATGGCAACACAGGAGCTTCTGGAGGAGTCAGGGCCATAAACAGTGCTGCCAGGAAACCAGTCCTGTGCTGTGGAGAAAGGAGAGATCACAGCAGTACAGGTCTATTTGCCCAAGCTTGCTCTATTGATTTTCTCATTCTGGCTGTTTGTATTGATTTTGTGATCTCAGTTGCTGTGGACCATGTTTTGAATTCCAGACATGTTCCTAGTAGGAATTCATGTGGAAGGTGAAAGCCAAGGTCTCAGGAAAAAATGGTTTTCATTATGTTGCTTCATATCATAAACGCAAACCATTAAGAGCAATAATGCATCCTTCATTACAAATGTATTAGGACCTTGAAACTAATAGGATCTAACTGAAAATGTGTCTGTCCTGTCACTGCAGAAGGGGAAGTAGTACACTTTAGAGATACTGACCATGAGATATCCATGGATGAGCTGATCAGTAGCCATCTACCCATGGCTGCACAGTGCTCGGTAGCTAACACACACAGTCACATATCCTGAGACTGGATTTTGACCTACCAGTTTGTTGGTAGGATTGTCCCTTTCAAATCATCATTAGGGATGGAATTTACTGCGGAAAATATTTAGTCTCAGAAAAATAGGCAGGATGTCCAAGTTTATTAGTCACAGCTACAGAAAATATACTTTGTGTCTTTGAAGAATACATACTGAATTTGTCAATCCTTTCCCCCCTCCCAGCCTTATATCCTGGCAGATGAGTTACGTCGAGAGCTGCCTCCTGAGCAGGCTCAGTACTGCATCAAGAGAATGCCTCCGTACACTGGCCCAGGTTCTGTTCCTGGGGCTCTGGATTACACCTCGTTTTCATCAGCACTGTATGGAGAGAGCGACCTCTGATTCTGTAATTGGCCGTATTCATGGTAGACACTAAAAATACCCCCCTTATTGCCCAGATTGCTTCTCAAAAGCTTTGACAAGCTGATTTAAAAATGAGTTTTACAAATACAGTAGGTACCGTCAGTGTAAAGTGCTAATAACTAAAGTAACTAGTGTATATTAAAGTGTGTGGCACGCTAGATTTCTGCATTGTTGGTTTTAGGTTGTCTGTCCTATACAATGCTAGAAAATATATAAAAAAAAAATCGCAAGATACTAACTTTGGAAATATCCATTCAGAAAATAGAATGTAAAACATAAGAACATTGAAACTCACAAAATATTTCTGCATTTTCAAAATGTTTCAATGCCATATGCGCTTCTTTTACAATCTTCATAAAACTATGTTAGAAGTCATGCTTTTTTCTTTTGTAGAGCAATATTATTTTCTCTAATGATTTCTGATTTTGTATGCTTCTACTAGTGGAATTTAATAAAATATTAAAATACAGATTTTCAGGGAAGAAATATATCAACCAAGTAAACTACTTAATTACAAAAATAATCAGAATGCTACGCTTTTGCCTCTTAAAGATGGTTTTATCTTACCACAAGAATTTGTAATATAGGGGGCAAAAGCTGATTAAATTGCAGATTTAGAGTTCTGTAAGCAGTACTTTTTTTTTAGGCCTTTAACTTTTACAGTTGAGGGAGTACCACTTTTATAATCAGAAATAAGGAATCTAATTTCATGTGAGCTGTTTTGTTTTGAAACCCTCTTTCTTGTCTGTGTTGGGCAGTCTTTGTTTCTCAGTACAAGAAAGCCAGTCCCTTGTATTAGTGGGCAATGTTCATCTCCATCCTGCATAATGCAAAATCCCATCTGAGCAAATGTAGTGTGGTTGTCTTGCAGCTTTAACTGTTCAGTACTCAAATCTCAGTTTGTCTTGACTTCTACTGGATCGCAGGCAGTTCTGTCTGTATTGTGTTCCTGTGTGCTAGTTGTTTACTGTTTGTTTTTTTTCCATCTTGAGAAATGATAGAGAAGTAAAAGCAGTAACTTTTTTACTTGAATCCTACTGACACTGAGGAAATGCAATGTAATCAAACAAAACCATGTACAAATGGTGAAGTGAGCTGTGCAGCCCAGTGCTATTAAAGCAATGATGTGCCTATTAAATAAAGTCTGCTTTTCAAAACCTTATGAGACTCTGTCATTGGCAATCATCTAGCGGTTCCCTCTAAGAACTGGAAACATTTCTGAACATTAAAGGAGATTTCAGTCTGCTAACAGTTCAAAAAAGTATGTCATGCATTTCTATACACTGTGTCTGCATGAAAAACATTCCCTACATGCAGGAGGGACAGGTATGGCTTCATGAAGTGAGATGGAGCTCAGAATGAGTGGGACAGAGTTTCCACTTACATCACCTGAGCACAGATGTCCGTAGCCTGTTGGACTCCTAGCTTAGATTGATTTCAGTGAGACGTAGGCACTAATGCTTTTGAAGATGTTGGCCTTACCATTTCTGTATCTCTCCTTTTCCTGATGTGCAAAAAAGCACATGTTAAGTATGCAATGATGCTTTTACTGGCCTTTGCTTTGAAATCTATGAATGGGAAGCATTAAAAATCTGTGTGTGATTTCAGTCCTAAAGCAGGCATCCTGCAGGTAAGGTACATGTGGTGGGAGCAATTTCAAAACAATCCCAGCGGAGATAGATAGGCAGTGACCAAATACCTCTTCCTCCTCCACCTTGTGTACAAAGGCCAGCAGAGGACTTAGAGAAATGCTAGGGCTAGAATCACACCTCCTACAGTGCATGTGCAGCCTTGCACACAACCAGAAGCTGCTACTGCCACTGCTGATACTGACATGGTTCAGTGCCATCTCTTTGTGATGGCAGCGCCCGTACAAACTAAGTTGGGAAGCTCTGCCTTAAAGCAATGGCATTTCTACCTAAATGACTGCTGGGCAGCCTGAATCCTATTAAAAAATAAATCTGTATATCTCTCATTGTCACAGTTTAATGCAACTGGAAGAATAAAACATTGAGCTTCCAAACGTGGCACAAAAGCAAAATCTCAGCACTACAGGCAGGATTATGCTGAGAATTGGCACAGAGACAGTTTATATCTGACACCTCTATCGGGTGTCATTCATGTTCTCTACCTGCTAGTTTTTATATTGCAGTATCCTTCCTATTTTGGTAGTATGGAAGAGACTTCTAAACTCCTCCTTTACCTGAATGTTCTGTTGATCAAAGCATGAGAGAGATAATGTCATCAGCAGCAAGAGAAAGACTTTTGCAAAGTAATTTTTTCATTCCCATATCAGGTTTCTAATTTCTAAAGTGGAGTGAACAGAGCCAGTGACAGCTGTAGGGATTAATTACCCATCTGTACTTGCCTAAAAATTTTATACCATATTTATTACTTTAATATGCCTTTCACGTTAAAAAAAAAAAAAAAAAGATGTATCATAAAGTTATTTCTCCCAGCATCATTTGTTTTTAGGGTAACTAGATTAAATAAGCAAGCTGTGTTATTTTACCCTGAAGAGGGTAAAATTCAAGGTTCTTTAAAATATTATGTGGTCAAGTTCCAGGGCTATGGGTTTGACAGCGAGATTTCCTTTTCCTCTAAGGCTCCATTTTTAGTAGGTGGCATTTGTATTTTTCTGTAGAATCAGTCTGTTCACACTGGGAATCGATGCAGTGGCATTTTCTGTCTATGCAATTCTGGCAGCAAACTGGCTTTACTATAGAAAAAGCACAGTAACTGAGCCCAAGGTAATGAATGTGCCAATTACAGGGGCCCAATCAAGGTTCAACAGGTGAAGGTATGGCATTATTTTGATGATCATGTGAATGAGGATTATAGACTAAATTAAAATTCAAAAAAGTCAGTAAGGTTTTAAGTTGCTTTAGTGACTGTAATACAGATGTCTTCTGTGACTTTACATGGATACAACAGTTCTTTGAAAATCTTCCTGCCAAGATAATCTTGATTTTGTAGTAATCATTTTCAGTCAGTGATGTTCAGAAAGGTGCTGATGCAGGTAGAAAGCAGTGTTTGTCAGCTCTGTGCTACCTTCATATCTCCTTTCTGTACAGAGAGTTTCCAGCACTTCTTTTCTTACCTACTGGCCGCAAAAGGCTTGGATCAGAGCTGTTCCTGGTGGCTTGTATTTTCATCAGAACATCCTGTTGTTCAGTTTGCCCACTTCTTGCAGGAGACCATGCTCTTTTATTCAGCTTGTTCCTGGTGTGTGTAGAGGTTATCCCAGACAAAAGTGGTCTCAATGAAGGAGGAAAATAGCTCCTGTTAGCAGCTGGATTTGGACAGTGAGCAGTTTCCTGACTTAAATGGCTTGTGGTTGAGAGTAATTCTGTAAGAAAGTAATCAGTTGATCATTGAATCAACCAGTAATATTTAGATGAGAAAGTAATACTTTGGTAAGAGGTGACACTTCTTTTGAAGAATATTCATCACTTATTTTTGCCAAATCCAAGTCCTTGGTCCTCATCTTCTTCAGTGGGACTGTGCCTCTTGGTGTCATCTGGAGTTCACACCTTTTAAGAGAGGAGTAAGCCTGAGATCATTTTTCAACAGAAATAAGGAACAAGTCAGTGAAAGTCTGATATAAAAAAAGGAAGCAGGGAATAATCTGTATGAAAATGTCTCATAAAGAAGGATCAGCTCAGTCAAACAAGAAAGCATGTGCATCGTTTCCATGTTGTGAGCGTAAAGTAAAAATTATTGGATCTGGCTCTCTGCTTGTGTTACACTAGAAAATGACATTAAAACAGCTGTAAGTTTAGCACAGTGAAAGTTTAGCACAATATGCCTGTGCTTTGGATTCCTGACTAACTTATTTCTTACCAGGGAAAACTGCTTAGCAGTCTTTGAGTTATTGTATTACGCCAGGATTTATGTCTGAAAAACCTTCCCTACTTCTGGAGGCAGAGCGCTAGAGGAGGTCGTGCTGTTGTGGTGGGAACGTTACACAACAAGCACCCGAAAGGCTTTTTCCAGAATCAGCAAAACTTCCCCTGAGATGCCAATAATGCTCAAATATGCAATACCTACTATAATTATACGGTGTGACCATTGCTAGTGTTGCTTTAACCTCACTGCTCACTAAAGTATTTCTTTCTTGGTAAATACTAACGAGGTTTCAGAAGAACTGAAATACCTGTTCATTCCCCGTGTACCTCTTCCTCAAGTGTGCTGGTTTTTGGCTGGGATAGAGTTAGTTTTCTTCATAGTAGCCACTATGGGGCTATGTTTTGGATCTGTGCTGGGAACAGTGTTGATAACACAGGGACGTTTTCATTACCGCTGAGCAGTGCTCACACAGAGCCAAGGCCTTTTCTGCTCCTCACCCCACCCCACCAGCGAGGAGCCTGGGGGGGACACAAGAAGTTGGGAGGGGACACAGCCGGGACAGCTGACCCCAAATGACCAAGGGATATTCCAGACCATATGACATCATGGTCAGCATATAAATCTGGGGGAAGAAGAAGGAAGGAGGGGACGTTTGGAGTGATGGCGTTTGTCTTCCCAAGTCACCGTTAGGCATGATGGAGCCCTGCTCTCCTGGAGATGGCTGAACACCTGCCTGCAAGTGGTGAATGAATTCCTTGTTTTGCTTTATTTGCACGTGTGGCTTTTGCTTTACCTATTAAACCGTCTTTATCTCAACCCACGAGTTTTCTCTTTTACTCTTCCAATTCCCTCCCCCATCCCGCAGTAGGGGGAGTGAGCGAGCGGCTGTGTGGGGCTTAGCTGCCAGCTGGGCTTAAACCACAACACCAAGTTTTATGTTTAACAACCTGTGCGGTTATTTGCTTGTGCATCAGTCTGCCTTCTGCTTGTGTTCAGAGGGCATTTTATTTGAGGAGCCACTTCAACAGCATAAAGTCTGCACTACAGATAGCTGTTAGTGTGTTCTGGTGAGATCCTACTTGTTTCAGACCAAATATTTTTATATAGGAAAACTGACTGTTCTAAGCTGTATTTTTTTTTATGTTAGTCTCTTTTTAAAATGTGTGATTCCTTTCTAATTTTAAGCAAAGGTGTGGGCTGCCACCACAAAGGACAAGTCTATCTCCACTTTTTCCATGATCCCATTTATTTATAAATAGAACAGTTCCCTGGTCTGGTTACCGTGCTGGCTCGGAATACTTATCCAGGGTGCTAAGAACAGTAGATTATCCCTTCCAGCAGCAGCCTGTATTTACATTACCTTAAAGTGATTGTGTAACTGTGGAATTAGGAACCTAGCCACGCACTTTCACTGGAAGTCCTTTACTATTGACAACAAAAGAACATTTATGTGTAGACAACAAACCTTGAGCCCAGTACTAGGAATACCACTCATTTCCTTCATAAAGTAAGAGAGCTACATTAAATGACAAGCTCAGTCTTTTCTGTATGTGAGCTTGACTAGGTTTTCATATTCTAAGCTTCAAAAGAAAATCCTCTGCCAATTTGCTAGGTTTGGGGAAATGTCATTAGCATTTGCAATACTGCTTTGCACAAATTTGATTATCAGCATATTGCTTTAATTACTTGGAAATCAAATATATTGGATGAATGTCCTGAAGGGATAAATGTCCTGAGGCTATTTTAACACCCATCCATTCCTCACCTACTTGCTCCTGGCTCTTCTGTTTCAAAACCTGGCTGTTCTATTTGGCCCCAATTCATGGAAACTTTCTTCCCTTCAAGATACCCGTCGATGCTTTAAGTGGAAAATGCCCTCAAGCGCTGTCCTCAGGAGGAGCAGTTATCATACGTGCTCTCCTGAGCTGGAACCATCCAACTGCGTAATGGCTACTACTTGTGTCAGAAGCTCAGGTAGAGAAGAGCTCTAATGGCAGACCACAAACAGAGAGGGCTCTGTTTCAGGTTTCAGCTAGTCTGCTGATAAGACTGAAGGAAAAGAAATGTTTGCACAAGTTGCCAGCAAGCCTTGCCTTGATTTGCACTGAACTGTCAATATAGGCACACCAAATTAATGTAATTAAAAAACCCCCAAACATAGAAAAGCATAGAATGGCTATATTAAACATCTTGTTCAGACTTGTATCCTGGCTCTGACAGTTGCCAATAGCAGGCACAACAGAAAAGTGTAAAAGCGAGGCAGCGTGTTGCCATGTGTGCCCAGAAGAGTCTCCAAGTCGCTAGTAATTTGTG